CTGCTTTAATCTGTTTAAGCTCTTGTGTTGAGCTCACATTGTTGCATGCGGCGTGTGAAAATTAATTTTTTCCATTAAATTGATGCTCGGTTTATAATCTTCGGTTGAGCTTTTTATTGTTGGTGGATTTCAAATTAAAAATTGAATGTAATATTTAAAGTAATTGAAAATTATAAATAATGAGATAATTATGTTCAACTAAAGCTGATTGAATTCCGATGAAATTTATTTACATAAAATAAAGAGAAGAATCACTGGATTATTAGTATTAATGATCACTGGGTCACACAGTTATGTTTAAAAGTTTTAAATTGAAATTGCTTAAAAATGTATTGCTTATTATGATCTTTCCTTTTTAAGTAACCACATATTTTGAAATATTAAATTTTAATAATAATAATAAAAATATTTGCTACTAAAAGCATTAATCCAAAAAATAATTTGTGAAAAAACACTTTTTTCAGCAAGAAAATAAGATAATTTTTTACCCAGCAAACATTTGATGGTTATAGTTCACATCACATCCATGATATGGTCAATTACAGGTTAATGAGTGGCAATTTATGAAGAATCTATTTCACCAAAGGAGCAATATAAGATCGTCGCTCGGGGCGCATAACTTGTCCATGCCAGCAAAGTTGGGAGAGCGCTGCTTGCTCTCTGCGCTGCTCCACCTTGAGTGGCTGCTATCTTTGCATGAATAAAAAGTTCTCCACTCAAACGTGATAGGTCGCACGGAGTGCTGACGAAATTTACATTTAATCAATAGCCGAGCGGCCCACACGCTGAATTAATTGAGCCGAAAACTTGTATGATTCAATAACTATAATAAATAATAATGGGGGGTATACAGACGAAGGATCTTAAATTTTAGTTACTTGTTTGGCTCAAATGGAATAAATTAAATCATGGATTATTTTACGAATGACAGGGATAAATTCTATTGACTTGAAATCGAAAAAAAGTGATATTTGTCCACCATTTCGGAAGATATTTATCTATAAAAAAGCCAAAGACTATAATTTTAAAAATTTAGAAATTTCTTATACAGGCTTTTTTCTATATTCATTAAAGAATTTGGTTTATTTCGGATTATTTAATTAAATAAAATTACTTTAGAGAGGCAAAGAAAAAATGTAGTTGGTCAAGAATTAGCAGCTCAACACTTGAATCACAACTCTAGGAATTCAAATACCTAATAATCCTAAAACAGAAGTAGTTATTTTTCAATGAAGTATTGTTGTTTATATTGAGAGGTCCTTCATACCCTTTCAATCATCTGCACTTTCGCTTTTCGCTTTGGCGTTTCTTTTCGTGCCAGCTGATGACACACATGGCACTAAAGCAGAGCGTACTCGTCAGCGGCGAGTCACAATTTGCGTCCGTTTTTGTGTTTCTCCGAGGAGTAATAAAAAATTCAACGCTCCATTAGTGGACAGAAAGAGAGGCGCATCAATTTTTCACGGGGGCGCGCCGATTGATTTTCCGGCTTGGCGAGAGCCTACTCATGATAAGGTAGGTGTGCGTTCACGCCGTGCGTCTTCTTTGCACGTGAATAAGAAAATAATCCGCTTTTGCATCCGGGTCCACCAGCATTTTGATCATATTTTTCATCCGGATTATTTGCCCTCGCGTGCTCTTTGAGTGGAGCGAAGTCGCGCGTCGTCGCCGCTGAATGCGAAATTACGAATCGCCCTTTTTATCTGCCACCGGCATTATCGGCGCGGCTCAACCGACCGAGATGTAATAATGGAAATTGATTTTAGACGAGTCACTTTGCAGTGTGCCAGAGAAGAGATCGCCCTCTGTGCCAAATGCTCCGTTTTCATATCCGCTAACAGGGTTTATCTGCTTGTGCAGCGGCGAAAAACGTCCTTGCCAGATGAAAAATGCTCGCGAGCAGTAGAAAGATGAGAAAATGAGCCATTAAACTCGCTGCTTTCCTGAAAATTTTTACTCAAACGATAAATTTTACGTCCTTAAAATGCTTGGATATGCATTTTCATGGTTAATTTTCACCCAGGTTTTATCTCAAATTAAGGGAATTTTTTCGAGTCTTAATTAAATTCCAGATAACATTATGATATTTTTTCCTAATTAAATTTTGCCAAATTATTTTATTTTGAGCAAAAGATTTAGGTAACCTCACAGAATTTCCATCTCTAACTCAATCATTTCATGCAATAATATTGATAAATATTAATTTCATTTTCAACAGATTTAATTTCATTTAACTTATTTTAGGTTGGATGGTTTAAAAATTAAAATTTTACCCTACATTAAATTGATAAATAAAAATATGTTAATTTTGTTGACAATTCTTTTTATAACAAAATTAAGATACATAAATCACAGATACAGATAATGTATAAATTTAATTATGTTAAATAAGTTTTGTACTTATCGCCACTTAAAACAATTATGCTAAATGTAAACTAATTACCAAGTAATCAACTAATTGGCCTCTATACTAATCACCATCAACAACCCTTGTTATTTGGTGTGAGTTATCGAGTTATGATTGACCTCAACGTGCCGTTTCCCCGGAAAACGAGCCACATTTTCCACAGTTAAGCCCCGCTCTCCGCGCAGCACCACCGACTAAATAACCCTCCTCGAGGCTCTTCTGATGCCAAAAAAGTAAAACTCCCGCCGCGAGGACCCAGTAGCAATATAAGTGGCGGTGCCGTGCATTGTAAAGAGCGAGAGGCGCCTATAACCATCGCACGTTCATTTCCGAGCAACAGAGATTATTTTTTCTTTATTGCGCCCTAGAAAATGTTTAGCGCCGCGGATATTGCAGAAAGTTTACAACTCGCAAGCCAGGCTGCGAAAAAGCGACGAGCGCCCGAAGGCCGAGAGCGAGCGCCGACGCTGCTTTTATTAATTTATAATCCGAGTGTCGCCTCTCGCAGGTCTCGTCAAATTTACGGCCGAGCGCCTGCAGACGCCTGGATATGCAACCCGCGGGACATGCGACGAAAAAAAAAACAGCCGACTGCTGAAAAAAGGGGTGCTGCGTTCGCGAGCAGCTCAGTTTTTGCCCGAGTTGTCACTATGGTTGGCTGGACGAATCACTTTTCTCTCTCTGTAGCCTTTGAACTTGTATTTTTAAATGTGAATTTTTTATCTCTAAAAATATACATATATGAGCTGCGGTGGTGGAAAAGTGAGCTGCAAATTAGTCCGACCATAACCCAGGTTCCTTCAAAGGCGTTTTAACCCTTGCTGCTCAAACAGAGCCGCTTTTTGCGTATGCTGGAAAGTTTGGCATTCTGCTCGTGTTCAAATATATGCGCATGTCTAAAGAGAAGCGCTGCAATAAAACTTTGCGAAACGCCCTTTTAATCTGATTGAATTTGTAAATGTTTTCACCAAGTTTTGTTTACGATGAGGAAGGAAAAGTTTTGCCCAGACTGAGAGCAGGGAGGTGCGCTTTGCAGGCCTCTGGAAAAGGCGTTCAAAGGGGATAAAGTTTGCCTGTCTCCTGCGCCTCTTAACTCGTAACTTTTACTCGGAAAAGGTTAAAATCGGCAATCAGCTTTTATTTGGTGCTAACCATGCTCAAAGTTGACCAATATCAGTTATTGACATGAGCAGAGAAACATCGAATGTAATTTGTAATTTTAGCTGCTTTTTCACGATTTATTTAAAAAGTTCAGTAATTTGTTTGTTTCTTTAGCTGGCTGCTATCCAAATGTGAAAAAAGTTTCGTTTGCCATATAATAACTTGTTGAGAGAGAATAAACTTAATAAACGAATACAGTTATTTGAAAAGATAAAAAAAACCGTAGTTATCTTTTTATTTACATATCAAGGTTTTAAATTTAACCTATTATTTATATATCCTTTTTATAGTTTTACTCTCAAATTGACAGAGTTAATTATTACTTAAAGATCATAGTTTCAAAACATTCTTGCAGTGGAAAATGAGTAATGGCTTATATAGTTTCTTGACCAACAATAAAAATAATCCAAATAAAAATTTAAAATACATCTCTTCACTAATTGTTTTATCAGGATCTCAATTAACTCAATTAAAAGTAAAAAGGGTAAAAAGGTTATTGTTTATATCATTGATTTTAATAGGAAAAAATTCATAACTAGATTTTAAATTAATTGAAAACAATTTTAACTGCCATTTTAAGATTTTTAAGTGTCAAAATTAATAATTGGCCAACTTTTGGCGCCATCATAATTTGGGTAATTTATCAATATTATCCTCAAATAATTCTGACAAATTATTTTAATAATTTAGTTCTAATTATCATAACGATTTTTGTCAAATGAAAATCTGATCTGCATCTACTTTAATTAATCTAATCTTCACTTTTTTTAATTTGATTGATACTTTGTTCTAGGAAAAGCGCAACTCAATTAATAAATTGTGAGATTGAAAAATTCTAAAAAAAATATTTTTTGCGTCTCAGATTCTATAAATTAAAATATTTTGAAAAACCAAATTTTGAAAACAATGATAACACACTCTATCATCATCATCATCATCATCATCATTGCAGAAACAAACAAAAATTACGGCCAGAGTTTTGGTTTAATCTCCAATCTCAATTGCAAATAATAATAATTATCAAATAATCGAATTGCATATTTCTGAAAATCTTACTCAAACGTATACGTTTTTGTTTTTGAAGCTCAGTTTTCTAAAATCTGTAGAGGGACATATTTCTAACTTTTATCTAGACCCAGCATCATTTTCTTTCCCGTTATTTACTTAAACCCGAACTTTCACAGTCTACTTCATTCTGACTGAACTTTGCTCTATCCCTGAGCTGTGGGCATTCGTCGTTCTCAATCTCTTGAGGATTGAGCGGAGGCGCGAAGTGCCGCTGCAATTTCACGCTCCTTGCACCTGTTGGCCCAGAAACCCTGGACTGTCGTCCCCAGCGCCCTACCCTCACATATGCGAGTGTGAACGCGCAAACAAACAAGCTGGAAGAGAGAAAGTAAAAATTGATCAAAGATTAATTATTGCAAATTACCCAGAGGCTTCAATTGCAGACGATCGGAGGCGTTGATGCGGGCAAGGAGGCCGGCGGCCGTCGGAGGCGGCACGCAGTCATCGCCTGCGAGGACGAGGGCGGCCGGGAGCGGGTCGAGGGCGAGGCGGGGGGCGGCTAGGGCGAGCAGCAGGCCCAGCAGCAAGGCGCCCATCACGACGGCCCCCGCGGCCTCATCAGGGTCTCGATTTGCCAACGGCCACAGACTGACTGGCTGGCTGGGTCGGCGGCGGAGGCAGCTTGCCTGAGCGCCGCCCCCGCACACGCGCACTGCCCCCGCGGCAGCTGCGCCCGATTTTCTACACCACCGCCGACCCCCAAAAGACACACACTTTATACATATCTGGGCTGCTTCTTGGAAAGTTCCACCGACTTCTACCAAACTTGTGCATTTTTAGAAAATAATGTTGCGCAAGTCACGCCTCACAATCGTGGCCTTTGTAACTTGCCTGAGAATTTTTAATTAAAAATTAATTACTTCATTTTGATACATCTGCCTATCTCTTTCTGAATTTCAATTGAAGTGAGTCGTGTTATTTCACACTTTTTACTGAACCATAATTTGATAATTAATTAATTAACAACAAAATTTAAAGTGTTTCCAAATTCAAATAATAAAAATATATTCTTAACTAAATGAAATAATCTGGAGATTTTATTTTCAGTTCTGTATTTTGACTGAATTTTAAATTTTAGGTATATTGGTAATATTAAAAATATAATGGAACAAATTTAAACATGGATTTAGCTGTTATAATAGTCTCACATAAAAAAAAATATAGTGTATATCAAATTATTTAGATAGTTCAATAGATCTGGTACCAAACACTGAGTTTAATTTGAAATATAGAGACCTTTTTCAAAGTCTCACGCTGCGAAGAATATCAAACCTTTGTCCTTTTTACAATTTAATTGAATCAATGGTCGTTGAACGATTTGCAAGGGGCTCCGCCGTCGACCACAACTGATTACGCACCCGCCAAAGTTATGTAAGTATAGGGGTGCCGTAAAGTGCGGCTGCTCCTCTCCTGCAAACGTACGCACACACTGTACGTATACCAGTCGCTTGTCGGTCCAGTTGTTTTGCGCGGCTCGCTGGGTGGCTGCCTCAAATTAGAGGAGCAGAGAGACAAGCGCAAAACGCTGCCGCACAGGCACGCGCGCACCCGAGCTAAAAAATTGCACTCTCGTGACGGAATTGTTAACATGCAAGAATTATTCTTCCGGCATCCGTCCCTCGGGACCGCGCCGTTTTGCAAACGTGACACTTTTTAGTCTGAGCGGCAATTATTCTAATAAGTCCGAAATTATAAAATTAAGGACCCAAGTTAGTGTGTTTGTGCGCCGGGCAAACTTGTGTAATTGAATTTGGAGGCGGCAAAAAAGTTAGCGACTCCGAAGTCGCGCCTCTCTCTCTCTGTTGATCGGACCAAACAAGTGGAAAGTGCTCTTTTGGAGTGGAGCGGTCTGCTAATAAATAAAGGCCATCGCACAAAGGGGTTGGAGATCGGCGGTGTTCGCAGGGGATGAGCACCGCTCGAGCGCCACTTTGGACCCTCGATATATCTGTATAATTATATTTCTCTCGGGCGCAATAACATTTGGAGAGGAACGGAGAGAACAAACTACCACTTCCATTATTTGAAACTGTAGACCGCTTTTATGTATTGTAATTGTTCTAAAAAAAGCAAAATTGTTGTTTTTCTGGGTGGCCTTTGGTTTTGCCTTAATTCTTCTCAGGGCGGTGCTCTCTCCTCAGGTGGGTGGCAAGCTGACTGTCAAAGATGAAACACTCGTTGCAGTGAGGGCAACAGGGCATCTCAAACACCCCTGTTGGTCCAACTGGCACTGTCGGTCCAGCAGTCTATAAAAGATTAAAAATAATGCAAAATTAAAGAGGTAATTCGGCAATAGCATTTTCGAACTGATAAAATATTAGTTAATAAATAGATAATAATAAGAAAAAAGTCTTGTTCAATATCTTTAAAAAAAATGCGCTTGCAGATTCTTGGAAGTTTTTATTAACTGTAGTTAAAATTAAGAACAATTTTGAATTTTTATTTCAAAAACATAATTTTAACTATTTAGAGCTTCCATTTGTACTTCCCCCATAAACTAGGGCGTCTAGCAATCAGAATAAGCTAGAAACTTGCCTGCTTGGAGCACTTGTGCCTGCGAAGTTGCGAGTCACTTGAGTAGAAGCGGCAGCAACGAGGGCAATGGGTGCACTCGCGGCCAAGACCGCCGCCGCTGGAGGAAGATCCAGTGCGCACCCAGCAAGGCACAAACACGGCCGACGAGCCGCACTCGCACTGCCTCAGCGGTAGGCAACCGCGCAGCACCAGAAAACGCGCCTGGCCACACACTTTGCACTGGAAACGACACTAAAAAAGAATTCTTGAATAAATAATTTAAGTATAATTAGAAAATAAAATTCCTACCACAGTTGTATTCTTGGCACTTTCAGTTGGGCAGGCAAGGGAGGCAGTCTGTCCAGGCTCTCTGAAAATTTAGAAAGATTTTTTACATAATTTATAATTTTTTTATTAAGGTTTCTCACATTTTGCTGGATGTTGCAATCTGAGGAGGAGAAGACTCTTGGCTAGAATTGTGAGAGTCTTCAGTCATTGAGGCGCTGCTTGAGCTTTTCCTCTTTGCCTTTTTAGCAGTTCTCTTTTTGTTCACAACCACCCTTTTGCGTCTTGTTCCCTTTGAGCTGCTTCTGAAACATTGAAATTTTTCGATCAAAATTAATTTCTGAGAAAAATTGTAAACTATTTTATACTTTTTAGGCTCCAGCGTTAGATCCTGCAGGCTGATGGGCTCACCCAAGATCTGAATTCCAGTATCATTAGCAAAACTCTGTTCTTCGGGTGGCTGCTGGACTCCTGGTTCAGACGATTGCACGTAAATGGGCTGACTGAAGAGCTTGGCAAAAAACTCGCCATCCAAGGGAATCAAATTGCTGATGCCAATGCTATTGGTGTCGTCAAACAGTCTTAAATTTGCAAAACTTTCAACATCACATTTCCATTCGTTAATTATAAAAAAAAAATGATTTATGGAAAATTAGAAATTAAAAATTATATCATGTAATCAATGAATTTCTATGGAAAATTTAACGTTTTAATTCAGTACAGATATTAAAAACTAATTAAGAAAGTTAAATTTTACTGTTCAGGCTGTGGTTGATCCATTTTCACTACTGGAAATGCAAAAAGCACGCGTCACAGGCGAAAGAAAGTGCCAGACTGAGCGTCGCCAGTCGCCGCAGACAGTCTGGCGCCAATCCTGAGGATCGCCAGGTCAATGCCCTCCCTGTTTCGTCTCTCTTTTTGAACGCCCGCTCGCTCGCTGCATTTCTTCCCCTGTTGAAACTTTTCACAGTTCATTGCCCCCGCACTATTGCACTTCTCAATTCAAGTCTGAACAAGTCTGAACAGATTTCATGACACCCTCATTTGAAAACCTGCCTGTTCTTATTGACGCCAGGTAGAAGAGAATAGTTCAACAATAATAAAATTGCCTAAAATAATTGTTTTGAAAATTATTATATTAAATTATTTAATTTAAAAATAAAATAGCATATCAATGTTTTTATTGCATTAAATTTTAATGCTTCAACTTAAGAAAAAAAATATTTTCCGTAAGTGATAAGACATGTTGTTAGGAATTATGCAATATAAATGCAAGTTAAGTTATATTCATGATTTACATTTTTGTTTTGAACACTATAGTATTTAGACAAAGAGAACAAAATCAATTAAATAGAGCACAAAATAACTTGCAAAGTACATCTTAAATTTTATTTCAAAATTTGGGATTAATTTTGGAAAAGGAAATAACATTATTTTCTGGATTTCAAGTATCACTTTAATAGACTACAAAAAAATTATGGATTTGAATTTAACTTTGCTTCAAGTGTTTTTTCTTTTTGTTTTTCAAGATAATAAGTCTCAAATCACGTTAGTATTTAAAAATAACATTTCTCCTCAATATTAGCTTGTAGTTTTTAACTGTGACATGCCAAATAATCTATTTTTTCTAGATAAGGAAGGTACATGAATTTGATAATACGATATTTTCAAATTAGTTCAACTCTAGGCACTTAGACTTTCCTCGTGATCGATGTTTTGCCACTGTGCACGTAATATGATAATACGAAAATTGATTTAATTGCGGTGAGCGGCGCTCTTGATTAGATAATCACAATCACACACTGAGCGGCCAATAAAGCAGAGAAGGAGCTTTGCTCGACATCCACTAGCTCCGTGGGCAACAGCAGAGATGGAGGTCAAAGTCGCCGTAATTCTGTGCCTGGCTTTCTTCTCAGTGGCCGAGGTAATCCCAAATCATTTCTTTATCTCTTCTTTCCAACAGCCCATGTACCTAATTTTTATCACTCCTTTTCTAGAGATAGCGGCTGTTATTAGAGCAAAGAGTGACCCAAGAAATTAATTAATTCTTTTTTTATAAGTTTGTAACTGATAAACTTATTTAAAATATTATAATTGCGAAAAAAATTTAATTTTTAAATTTATATCTTTCCATCAAATTTTCAATTAGGTCATTGAAATTTTTCTCGCAAATTATGTTAAATGTTTATTTTAAATGTTTTCCAGGCTGTTAAAGTCTCTGTCTACTACGAGTCACTGTGTCCAGACAGCATCCGTTTCCTAACAGAGCAGTTCCACTCTGTTTACCAGCAACTAGGCTCGTCAGCCATCACCGTCGATTTCCTTCCTTATGGAAAGGCTTCGGTAAATAAAAAAGATTATAATACACATTTAAAAAAAAATCAATTTCAATTCAATAAATTTGTTATCTTATAACAAGTCACACAGAAAGGTAGATTATAATAAAAAAAAGTAATAATCTCGAGCGCAAACTGAAAAATAAATAATTTAAAATTTGTTAGCACACCCAAAATGCTAACGGACAATGGAGCTTTGTGTGCCAGCATGGACCTGAGGAGTGCCGCGGCAACAAGGTTCAGGCGTGTGCCCTGAAGTACATCTCAAACCCAGACCTTCAGGAGGCATACGTCAACTGCGTCATGGCTAATTCCTATCCTCCCGATGCCGGCCAGAGTGTTGGTTTTATTCCTTTAAAATTAAATCTATATGATCCACATTTTTCATATTACATAATTAAATTCTGACAATGCAAATACCATGATTTCACGTTTTTACAAGTCAAAATCAATTTCATAAGGTTTTTCAAACTTAAAAATAATTTAATCGCATAAAAAATTTAGTGCGCCACAAGTGTTGGTGGAGTTTCTGACTACTCTGCCATTTCCAACTGCATCGCCACCGCAGAAGGCGACGTGGAGCTCGTCGCTTATGGAGACAGAACCCACGCCCTTGGCTCTATTCTCACTTTCGTCCCAACCATCATCTACGACAACGTATATTTTAGAAAAACTAAAATTTATCATTTCAACAAATATAAATTATTAGGTTTTCAACCAGAGCGAGCAAGACGAATCGCTTTACAACTTCTTGGGCGTCGTTTGCCGTCATCTTCCGGATCCTAAGCCATCTGGCTGCCCTTAAATTTGTTCGAGTTTTGTTTTTTTCAAATTCTGTTTGAATGAAAAAAAAAAAAGTTAATAATTTCTTGTTATTTTCTTACTATAAAGACAATAAAAGTGTGTATTCTTGAACACTTCGCCTAAAATAATTAAGAGATTGTTAAAATTTATGCTATTTTCCAGCCATAACACGTAGATATGGCAAAAGCTAGTGTCATTGTTCGGATTCCAATTTCTCTAGAGCATATGTAAGATTTAGCTTTATATCATTATTTGCCCAAACTGGGCTCTCTGTAAAGGACTCTCCCAGAATTACTTAAAGTCGCATTTAACTTTCAAATGAGCTGAATCAGAGCCAAAGAATAATAAAAAGATGCAAATAAGGCCTCTCCGTTTGTTGGAATTTCTTAATCTTATTTTAAAAGTGCGATGATAACGAAATCTAAAAACATTTCGAATAATTTAATCCTTGAAATAAATTTAAAATTCTTTTCTCTTCTCTGTTATAAATGAAATTTTCTATGGCTGAAATGGAATAGAAAAACTTATGCAACTCGCTCAACGTAGAGCAAACGCGTGTTGCACGATTCACAGTATTGAGTTTGCGACTGACCACGTGCTGTGCATTTTCAATCAGTCAGATAATTTAAATTCTTCCAGTGACAAATTGGCGTACCTTTGTAATTTTCAATTGATAAAAAGCATCCTTGGTGGTACGAGACGTCAAAGGTTTATAAATTAAATTAACATTAAAGAAAAGCACAAGCCAGATCTCACTTTATCACAATGAACATAAATCAAGGAGATTAATTCTTCCTTTATCTTTTAATCGATGTGGTGATAACATCTTTTCTAAAAACGGAGTGCAGGGAATATAATTTGACAAAGAGAAAGAGCTACACTCTTTTGTCGTCACAGCGATTAAAATGAGCTCGATCCGTAGCTTAATCCTCCTGGTGGCTCTTGCTAGCTTTTGTGCCGCGCAGGTAAGGAGAATTTTTTGTAAATTTTTTATTATCCCTTTCTATTCCTAAAATTTTTTACTTTTCAACAGAGTGAGCCCACTATTTTCCCGGTTCGAGTCTCCATCTTCTACTCGGTTTATTGTGAAAATTGCAGAGGATTTCTAACTGGGAAATTCGCACCTTTTTATGACACTTTCAAGTCATGGATTGATCTCGATTTGATCCCGTTTGGAAACTCCACGGTGGGTTTTGCAAATAAATTTATAGAGTAAAATTTATGTCGATTTGACGTAGGATTTAGGTGGATTTGAATTTTCATGCCCAGAGGGCACAGATGAGTGCATTGCCAACAAATGGCACACTTGTACCGACAGAATTTACAAAGGTAGATATCCCAAAGAGGTGGCCGCTTTTGTCAACTGCACCCTTTGGAGGGATGACGGTTTCTTTGAAGACGTCCAAAAGGTTGAATCTAATCATAGCTACATCGGTTTAGGAATAAATATTTGTTTCAAAATAATTAAGTGCGCCGAGGAAAACTACCTAACCTTCCTTCCAATCCAGCATTGTGTGAACGAGTTAGAAGGCAAAATTCACTTGGCGGCAAACGCGGCAAGAACCAAAAACCACGAGCCTGCTATCACTTCCTACCCAACAATTGAGTTTAACGGGGTAAATTATGTTTGTTTTGCAATTTTAATAAAATTTATTTCGTAGCAAAAAATTACTACAAAAGAAAGACAGATATAATTAGTGAAAACTTTCAGACTTATGACCAAGAGCTGCACGATTTGGCTGTAAAAGATTTCAAAGCTGCAATTTGCTCACAGCTGAAGGACCCACAAACCGGAGCCGGGCCCAAGGCTTGTAATTTTGGCACTATGATTACGCCTTTCCTAAGCGTTCTATTGCTCTCTCTTTGGATTCTATTGAAATTATAGGCGTTAATTATCTCATTAAACTACGGCTGGAACTAATAAAAATGTGAAAAATTTCCATTTTGAGAACAGCAACAAAAATTTGTATTTTCCAGCTTCACAATTTTAAAAGTTTTTTTGAAAAAATTTGATAGAATTTTTTTTCAAAGCTGTAACTACACAAAAAATAAAAATGTATATAATTTATGGTCTTGCTAGTACACATAAAATATTTTTTTAACCAACTCGAACAGTTCAGGCCTTTTTTGATTTGAACACATTTATAGCCACAATTCTTAAGAAGCTAACTGAGGTGGTCAGAGCGATGAAATCATTATTTTTATACAAAGAATTTTGTGGAAAATAAATTATTACCTATACGTCATTTGCTTAATTATTGTAATAAGCTTCATTCCACCGTACGATAATGTGGTGTGGATTAGCATATAGCTTATAGTAATGATACTATTTCACAAGCTATAATTCAAGGATTCATTTATCTGATCAGATATTCTAGCTAATTTTTAATTATTCAAAAGTGAACAAGTAGGATGAAAAAAATTAAATTATAATTTAAGCGTTTCATTTTCGAATAATTTATTTCAATTCAAATTTCAATGATTTTATGAGTATCAATATTTGTTATACTTTTTACTTTTAAAATATGCTGCGGACGCCTTTGAAAACGCCACCGATGGTCTTTCCAACTCCAACACCAACATTTCCAACCGTTTTCGCAGCCCCGCCGACCACGGCTCCAGCAACCTTTACTGGCACGCTGGCCACCCCAATAACTGGATTCACCTCTCCACTGGTAACTTTTCCAATCGAGTCGGAAAACGCGTTGAAGGAGCCGTTGATCGTGCCAACCGTGCCTGACACCAAACTGGTGGTGGTTTCCGCGACCCCAGTGACTGCATTGCTCGTCGTGTACGCTGCACCCTGCAGGACGTTTTCTCTCACTTTGCCGACCGACTGGACGCCGGCAAATAAAGCATTCTTGTTGCCCTGATCAACCTCCTCCTTTAGACCTTTCACGTCCGAAATAATTCCATTCTGAAAACAATTTTTCGTTGAAACATTTCAAAGAAATAAAATACAAATCAAATAACTGGAGGTGGCGGCGGCGAAAACATCACAAAGAAATATTATAATTGCACGCAGCTCTGCTGAAGAAAAAATATTGATTTGTGCTTCTTTTGCTTATTTCCAAGGTAAAATTAAGCTATCTCGTAAATTTACATTTGAGCGCTATCTTTGTCATTTAATCGAGAGCTTTGTATCACCAACCACAACCAATTGAGGCTTCGTGATAAGAACACCAGCCTGTTATATATCGCACGTCTGTTGCATGCCTGACTAATTGTATTGTCTTGCTGGTTGCTGATTGCAGCAACTAAAGAGTTTCTGAGCATTAAAAATTGTCGCCTAATTTCACCTCTGAGATTTAATGAAATATAAATAAATGATTGGAATAAATTTAAAAGTTGATTATAAATAGCTATATTTTTATTGCTAATGTCTCATATAAAAGTTAATATTATTACAATATCTTTAAAGAACTATGCTAAATTATTTGTATTAAATTGTTGCAGCAAATCTTTACAAATACCGTCATTTTGATTTGATAAATTTGGACACTCAAATAATTTTCAAATAATAGAGTTACCTAGAGTTACTATTTTTAACCATTTCTAGTATTTTCAGGTGCTGTTTGAAGCACACGCATCATCTATATTAAAAGAAGATAAATTAAAACTTTTGAAACTATCATAAATTAGACGTATCAAAAATCAGCATCATGCACCAAAGGAAAAATATGCTAGTAGTTAGTAGTATATTTTAATAAAACCGATTTTGTTGAAAATAATTCAAAAAATACTTCGAAGGCCTCTGAAGATGCCAAGGACAGTTTGGCCAATCCCCTTCCCAACTTTGGCCACAGTTATCGCAGTGCCAACTGCAACCCCTACAACTACAATTACCGGGGTTGCAACAGTAGCACCGACTGGATGAACTTCTTCAAAGATCTCGCCAACAAGATCAACAGTATCAGTGAACGTGTCGCTCACTCCACTGACCAAGGAAGAGGCGGTTTCCGCAACTCCTCCCACGACATTCGTGGTAACATTAGCAGCACCATACACCACACTTCCCACCGATTTTCCAAACATTTTCACGGTGGCCTCTCCTCGACCCATCCTTCCTGCCCCGACCTCATGTTCCAGGCTTTTGAAGTCAGCAATTATACCACTTTTTGTAGCGCATCCACCGGTTGCAACTCCAATAGCATTCACAGCTAGATTAGCTACACCACCAACAGCACCAGAAACAGTGTCTGATGCACCATTGATGACGTGGTTGGTTATCTTTCCGACACCATTGACAAGCGCGCTGGGAGGAAATTCTTGCAGGTTGCAAATTCTTTCTGTGGTTTTGGCCATTTCATATGTAAGATTTGTGCACATGCCAGCCATTTTTATTGCAGGAAGAGCCATTATTCTTATTGGGGATTTAATAGTGTCATTGACTCGGTGCAAAAGACGTTTATCGCCAACTTCGTAGTGTTGCAGTTTGCTCATAGCTTCTAAGAACCAGGTTTGGCAATCATTTGTTCCAGGAAAGTACGGTTTTTTGGGAATGCTCCCAGCTAAGGCGTGCAACTGCTTGGGTGAAATTTCAACGTATTGCAGATTTTCCACCGAAAAAGCTTTCAAGAATTGTGTAATGATCAGCATGGAAGTAATTGGAATATCAGCCATTTCAGATAATGGACCATCTGTAGCATTTTCCATGTCAATAAGTGTGCCGTTTGGAGTTAGCTCCGATTTAGAATAGCCTGGCACTAAAAGTTCGCCACCATTTACGCCTGAAATTATATTTATATACATTAAAAAAAGAAAAACAAATGCTTTTTCTGTATTACCCTCAATGACTACCCAAAAGTCTAAAAATCTGATTCCAATTGCCCAATGATGGAATGGCGTCTCCTTATCTTTCTTGTAACTGACCCCTTTCCTGATAATGTAGATTTTTCCAATTTGAGCTATGTCATCCTGTTCATGCTTGGGGTAAATTGTATGACCTCCTTTGTTAGTGTTACTGCTTGTGCTTTGAACAGCAAAAGTAACAGTTTGCTGCAAATAATGATAAGTTGTAAAATTTAATAATAACAAAATTCAAACCTATATATATGGGAAATTCTTAATTGTATTTAAATCGTGCGGTTTTCTTACCGGTGACGGTGATGTGATGTTGATAGGGACATTGATAGGCGAGTTAGGAAGCTCTGGTAGTGACCCGAAGAGAGAGGAAAGGGCCATGCTAGATTTGAATTTCAAGTGAAATTACGTTGTATATTGACAAGCAGATGTATTTTGAAGGCCCGACTGTCAATTCTAATGCCAAACTTTAACTGGTGCTGTTGCTTCACCTTATCCTAGACTTTTCATTTCAGATTTAGCAAGACTTTGCAAGTTAAAAGATTGAAATGCTTGCGCGTAGGTGTATTGGAGTTAATCGCGGGTGGGGCCGGGGCTTAAAGTCTAAGTACAGTGCGTTCCACCGCAGCATCTTGCTGAGCCTAGTGGTTAGACTTATCGCACTTTCAAAAATATTACACAATTATATATTTAAGATTTAAGCAACACACTGAAATACCAAATGATTTTAGTGTTTTTATTCGGGGGGAAACAAGAACAAATTGGAACAAAGAAATTTAATATTAAAGCTAACGAAATATAATTATTATTGATATAAGTATTATAATATTTTTTTTTCATATACATGAAGAATAAGAATTATAATGCAATAGTAGTGCATTAAGGTTTTTAAATTGAAAATAAAATAAAGTAGGTTGAGTGAGTGAGTGTTCTCGAAAAATGTTTAAGCTCGAGTTTCGTCAATCAAAACCAGCATGAGCGTCACAACGCAATTATTTTCAGATGATAGAACGCGACCTGATATACATGAATAAATAATATGCAAATGTGTGATTGCACCCAGAACGATGCAGGCGGCGCCTCATCTCAGGTCACTCAACCTGAATCGGATGCATCTCTCCTGGTCACCGTCACGTACTCAACCAACAGGATGTTGCACGCGATGCATATTGCATCTGCAATCGCTTTCGTTTTAGCAGAATCAACAAACAAAATATAATTCATTACATTCTAAATGTACGTGCAAACAAGAAATTGCAAAATATTTATTTACAACTCCAATCAAAAATTTAAATATTAAATACAGCAAAACTGGAAATGAAATTATTGAAAATTTCTTTGTACCGGATTTAAGTATACATTGGCAAAAATTGAATCACCTATTACAAAAGCTTTTAAAATACTTAAATAATTTTGCTCAAAGGTTCATATTTGAACTATCATATTTATCATATGAGCCAATAATTTGGAAACCTTCAAGATGATTCAAAAGAACAAATAAGTAAAAAGATTGGATTTTGAAATGTTTTTCTCAAAATCATTTATTTAATTATTGTTATTATTGCTGGTTATTTATCCAATTTTTAAATCAAATTGTTTCCATATGAATTAAAAAAAAATATTTAATGGTTTGACAAAAACGGCATGAGTATCAATATTTTTCTAAATGATCTAGAATAATGTTTGGATTTTTATTCCAATTTTTTAAACAAGTTTTTTTTATCATCAAAAACCTCATTCGCGGTAGTAAACCCAAATGATAAGCGGTTTTAGACTCCCGACAATTTTCCATTTATCAATAGGAAGTGTCAACTTGACGTCATCGGCAAATGTCAAATATTGCGTTTTACTTCATCTCGTGTTACCAAAGGACTAATTATTACTATATATCACCACTTTATTTGGGTTCGGTTTGTTCCTGCTGGTGTCGTCACTCCATTATTTGCTTTTTTATGCGTTGCATGCCACCCACATCCACACGATGCGCGACGGAAAGCCCTGCGGGCGGGGAGTGGGGAGGGGGATCCGGCGGCGTGCTCAGGTGTATTATACCTGGCGCAGGAGAAAGTGGCCTCACTCAGTGCAAGCACACGCTCCAGAGAGAACGTACCGGCGAACGACCCATACCGAGAGCACCGAGGCGAACCAGATTAAGCAGAGAAATGTAAGTCATCAGTCATATTATTTTAATACATTTCGAACCTCCACGAAACAAATGGGTAAAGTTTTCATTTTGCGAAAAGTGGAGAAAAAAATTAAAAAAGTGAGATGAGCGGTGCAAGTTGCTACTCAAACAAGGAGTGGCTGGAAAAAACTCTCACTCGCCGTAAGAAAGTGAATAAGTCACGGCTGCTTTCATTTTTCACCCAACGTCTCTCGCGTGGAGGCGCTGAAAAAAGTTTCAAGGATAACGAATACGAACGACGTTCACGATCAGAGAAATTGATCGAGTTAGATATTCTGAGGCCCGAAGCTGATAGGTAAAAAAGGAAAATATTGACTTTAATTGTTACTAAACGTATGGAAAAACTTAAAGAATCCAGGATTTAATAATTTTACACAAATTTAAATTCAAAGCATATATTTTTTTTAACACTCGTGTTAAAAACAATTTGAATTAAGAAAAATAGAGAAGCATTAGCCTTGTTAAAATTAAATTTATTAATAAATAAATGTTTTTCAATTTATTCATTTCCAATATGACTTGCTGAAACTGTTATGTTTGTTTATCTAGTTAGAATATATAATTAATTCTGCATTCTTCAATGAGTAAATCTATTGGCAAAGAGAGCTTGACTTCTACTTTTAAAGGTACAAAGCTCGGCGTACGACACAAGAGTTTAATAATTTAGTGTTGTAAGAGACTCTCGCGCAGGAAAAATGCAATAAGCGCTACCGGGTGAAATTTTCGTGAGTCACACAAGAGCGCACCAGAAGAGCACCGTGGTCTTTAGATTCTCGAGAAATTCCAGCGCCTTTAATAACTCTCCTCTGCGCATCAATGTCACCTCGACGGCCGGTCGGTCGTTTAGGAAAAATGACTCTTCGGGTGTAGATAATTTTATTTTAAGTGACTTCGGCCGTCGCTGACACGCAATATTGGAATCGTTAGAGCAGAAGGACGCTCAATTATGTGCGTTTATTATAATAATAGTTGAACAGCTAATGTTGGCCCTGAGCGCCTCACGTTCACAATGCGACATTAATTTGGTCTCGCGCTTCAACCCGCATGTTTTGATTATCATAATATTTGCATTACAGCGATATTCATCCTGGTGTGCGTGTTGGAGAGCAAGCGGGATTCAATTAATCATCCTCTTGGTAATTCAAATCAAGAAGGGCGTAAAAAATATAGCCCAGACGTAATAATTTGAATTGAGGAAAATCTTGGCAAAACTAACAATTTTTTTATAACCGCACCTTGGCCCGGCAAGGTTCACGCATTTTTATCGGAGAGGAAGGAAAAAGAAAGGCTTGTGGCCGGAAATTTTGGTTTTGTAACGCCTCATTGAGCCTCTTTTCTTGAGAGGAGTTGCGCACATTCAACTTAGTACTTGTCCATTCTTTTGTTTGTTATTTTTTCGCTCTGACGAGATGTTTTTACGGTAAGGTTTGTTTCAATACGCTGCTCTTATTATCCGCAAGTGCGGATCTTTCATGCGATATGCGCAAACCTCATTTCGTCGTCTGAAACCAGCAGGTCGTGGTCTCATTAAAAGTATTCTAGAATATCATTTGTAAAGCAGTTCGCCTGAAACAAGTAACGGATTGTACAGGACGAGATTCAGGCACAATGCCGAGTCACTGACCTAACTCATCTTTGAGCTGGCAAAAATGTTCCTTCTAGACCAGTGACTGTCGCCGAACACAACTTGTATTAATCATTTCTTTTTGCAAAGGCAGTAAGACATCTATGAAATATTCAATATAACAGGTATGCAAACGCAGCATTAAAAAATTAATCAAGACAGAAATTAGATTGGCAGATAATAATATTAAGTTAAGTAATAATAGTAAATGCTCTAATTTATGAAATAACAAAAAATTAACAAATTTCTTTCAATAAGATTTTGGAATTTTTGCCATTACCAGTAAAAATTAAATCTCGTGTTTTTTTCCGATTTCAATAATTTAAAATTTCTATTGAAATATTTGAACTTCAATTAAAAATTATGCTCTCGTTTAATCAGAAAAGAAATCGCTAAAATTTCCTTTTTTTTCTTTGAAAATAAAAGTAAAAAAATAATAATATCGTTACATTAAATTCTACAAAGAATTCTCAAGAATTTTGCTGGTAGTTGAAAAACGTTCAAAAGAGATAAAAAAAATTATGTCCAGCCAGAATAGAGTTTATTTCGGTCACGTTTTGAAACAGAATCTCAGCCAGCTCTTGATCAAATTATTCCAACTCGACTGCTGGAATTGATTTTATGGATTTGTATGCGTGTTCGCATGCGTTTTTTACCTCATTGCGAGCGAATGAGTGAGCGGCTCTGAATGTCAATAATACGTGCGGATCTGGTTTCGTCATCTCTCCGCAGTCGCATCCGCGTCCACTTCGTGACCGCGCCGCTTCAAAGGCACGTAAATACACACTTTGTGTATATATTTTTATTTTCGTGTTAGTCAATGCAACTCCCATCCTAGTCTCGGGCGTTCTCAGAAGAGAAATTATTATTTATGCGGTGTGCAGCTCAGGGAATTCCCTCCGTTGGCGGCCGGCATTGTTCCCTTCTGACGTCACAAGCCCGTTGAGGGCCGCTACGTTTCAATTAGCGCAAATCACGGCACCGACCGCGTCCTTTCTTTCTTTCGCGGCTTTCCACTTGCGTTAATTTCTCCCGCCGCACTCTTGGAGCAAATGACGCCACCGGTGACAATTTCGCACTTTTCAATTCAGTCAAAAACAGATTTTCCTCCTCCGAAAAAGGATTGTTATTGAAATTTCGCCCTTGCGAGGACTCGTAAATGGGTGAAGGACTGAGCAATAAAAACTTTGCTGCTTTGTATACGTCGGCGTACTTCCTGTTGCTCTATCGCGAGCAAAACAACCCACACCGATTGTCAGGAGGATGCCGCCCTGGCACAGAATCTCGCGCGCGCACACAGTGGCATTGGGTTGGGTTTTACGCGAGAGCCGTGACCGAGAATGAGCAAATTAGATTCACATGCATTGTCACGTTCTGAAAGTAAATACGATGTCAAACTAGGCAGAAACTGTCACGGGAAATCTGCACGAACATCCCACACAACAATGTTTTTTTTTAACACATTTGAGTCACCTGTGAAACTCGCGTGACGTTAATTTAAAAGCTCCTGTTTATAACGGTTTAAAATCTTTAAGACAAACTTGAATTCAATATCAGATTAAGTCAACCGAATTATTAATTCAGTTAATTATAATAATTAATTTTTGTTATCAAGTAAAGAGCAATGACAAAATGAATATTTAGAATTTTTAAATTTACTAATTAAATAAATCCACCTTTTTTATGTTTGTTTTTGAAAATCATTTGTATTTTTTTACTTTTATTATTTTTACTGATTAATTTATTCACACAGATTGATTTTCTGTTTCTTTTTTAATTTATCCTTACACACTTACGGAGTTTGAAAGCACAATATAATTTAACAGCTATAAAATGCAAAATGATTGCTACAGATTAAATATTAGAGCATAATAATATAACACCTACTTTGAGAACTAAATCCAAATAAAATTAATTTTATGTATTCATCCTTTATAGTAATTTCTCTCTCTTTTATAATAATTGTCTCGGTTTTCCTTTTAAACGCGTTACATTATTATTATCTTTCAGACGAGATATGAACAAAGTGTTTGCCCTTGTTTCAGGCTACTTTGGGCGTCGATAGCATTGCTGGCGGCCGTGAGCGGCGCGCAGGCACAATGTCTGGGCGGCAAATCGGCCATGACCAAGACCAACAGGCTGGATCCGCAGGCCTTGCCCAACGCCCAGCGGGCCTTCAGCGCCGAAATGCTGCGTCACCTGGGCAGGCGCGACGAGAACGACACCGGCCTCGGCAGCAACCTCTTCTTCTCGCCCTACAGCACCTACATGGCTCTGCTGCTCGCCTACTTTGGCTCGGCCAGCACCACCGAGGAAGTCCTCCAAAAAGGTCTTCACCTTGGCCAAATCGAAAAGGGACGAGTCATGGAAGCCTACAAGATGGAACGATTCTTCCAGGTAGAAAAATCAATAAACACAATTTGCAACTAGAAAAATTATAATTAAAAAATTTAAAGATTTGATTTTAACCATTTATTTTTTTTAAAGGGCACCAGAGCTGGAAAGTCTGACCCAACAAATTACGAACTCAGCTCGGCCAACCGACTTTACTTCCGTGAGCAACAGGAGTTGAAGGAGTGCGTGTCCGAGTTCTTCAAGGACGAAATCCAGAAGCTCAACTTCCAGTCGAACCCTGACGAGGCGCGCTCAGAGATCAACGCGTGGGTCGCCGGCCAGACCAAGAACCGCATCACTGACCTTCTGCCCTCCGGCGCCATCACGCCCCTCACCAACGTCGTCCTGGTCAATGCGGGCTACTTCAAGGGACTGTGGCAGTCGCAGTTCCAGCCTGAAAACACGCGCAAGGCCGTTTTCTACATGTCCTCGACGGAAAGCGCACTGGTCGACATGATGCGTCAGAAGGGAAGCTTCAATCACGGTAAATAAAACCAACCGAGGTCACCACCCAGTACTTATGTGATCATAAACATTTCAGCCGTTTCTCAGTCCCTGGGAGCACACTTGCTCGAACTGCCCTACAAGGGAAATGAAGTTTCCATGGTCATCCTGCTGCCGCCCTATCTCAATCAGCCCGACGGAGGACTGCAGCACCTCTTGGCGCGTTTGACCCCCGAAGCCCTGCAGGAGGCTATGGAACCCGGAAGCATGTCTGCCAGACAAGTGGAGGTCGCCATTCCTAAATTCAGCATTGACCACTCTCTGGAGCTTGTTCCTGTAAGTATCTCTTGTAATGGACTAATTGTAAAAAAATGTTCTCTTTTATACGTCAACGATATCATAAATTTAGTTAATGAATTAGGGGGTGAAATTAATCTTCATTTTCAATTTCCAAATTTTCAAATGGTTCAAATTTTTTAAGATTAGTAATGCAAGTGCTTGAATTATCTAATTAAAATTAGCATTTATGTTTTATTTTATTTTTCAAAATATGATTTTGTCAAGGAAAAACATCACTCCATATCCGTTCATTGTGGATAACATTGACCTATTTCCTTCAAGTTCCCTCTGGAATGAAATTTTTATTTTTAAAAATATTCAGTTTTAAATCAACCATTTTAATTAAATTATTGTATATTATAACGCAGTTTTTCTGAATATTGTGATCAATTTGATAAAAAAAATTCATCAATAATTTTACTTCTATTATAAAAGTATAGCAGGAGTTAATTTTATTTTTAAATGAAGCTGAAATATAATTTTAACATCTCCATTCTAGGTTTTGGAGAAGCTTGGTCTCGGCGCAGTTTTCCAGGTCGACGCCGACCTAAGCGGCTTCAGCGACGACAAAAACGCCACCATTCATTTGGACGGCGCCGTGCACAAAGCCCGTCTGGAGGTGGACGAAAAGGGGTCCGTAGCCGCCGCCGCGACAGCCCTGTTCTCCTTCAGGTCGTCAAGGCCACTCGAACCCGAGCAGTTCGTGTGTGACCACCCCTTCGTGTACCTGATCGTGGACAAACTGGGTGGCGGAACCATCCTGTTCGCCGGCATCTACAGAAACCCGCGTGAACTGCAGCAGAACTAAGGTGCTGCTTCAAAGAGAACTGATTTTTATTTTTGTATGAGTGGAATGTACAGACGGTGCGGAGTGAATTTTCGCAAGTGACTTGTTTCTCAATTTGTGAGGGATGAGAGATGAATTGATCAAACGAGTTGTGTAATAGCTTTTAATTCATTGTGTAAGCTCTCATTTCCAAACTTAATAATGACTATTGTGTACGCAGTAATAGCTGCGCTGATGTATGTAAACGTTTTATTTAAACATTAAAATATTATAAGGTTAAAAATACACTCTCATTGTCATTTTCCAACATAAATCACTTCTTCTGAAGTCAATAAATCATCGTTAATTAATTCCCTTCGTTACATAATAAGAATTTCCTTTTACATAAATAACAAACTGGTTTTTCCGTCTTAGAGCGGTTCGTATCCGGCTCGAGAAAACTCGAGAATGCGCTAATTTAATAGCAAAATAAATGGCGGGCAGCTGTTGTTTCTCGCCACGCGACGATCTGTGAGAGGCGCGAGAAGTAGCGAGTGCGAGAGCATGCGGTTGACCCCCTCGCTGAGGCCGGCACTCTAAATTTAGCATGTCTCCACTCGCGTAGCTATTTTGATCCCAAAGAAACTTCTAGTGGTCCATTTGAAGCCAGAAAAGCCGGCGAGCCACACGGACTCGTTCAATTGCAAGCTCCGACGTCCACGAGGTGAGAGTTCTTGGTGCGAAATTTAGCTTTAGAGAACCTCTTTCAATCTCGTAGGTTTTAAATCAATAATTTAAATTATGAATTCATTATTTATCCCTAACCACTTTTCAAATTCTATTAAAATAGGTGACCTGAATATTGAAATTAATTAATTTAAAATTTAATCCATCTTAATTTCACTTCATTTTAAACAAACATAATTAACAGAATTACTTAAGTATGATTTATATCTTTTTTTTTAATTAGCAATTCCGAAATAGGAAATTTATTTTAGGACTGAATTTCAGGAAAGTGGTGAAATGGCGGCACCCGCAGTAGGCATTGACTTGGGCACAACCTACTCATGTGTTGGAGTTTTCCAACATGGCAAGGTGGAAATCATTGCCAACGACCAGGGCAACAGGACCACACCTAGCTATGTTGCATTTACCGAGACTGAGCGCTTGATTGGCGACGCCGCCAAGAACCAAGTTGCCATGAATCCGAACAACACAATTTTTGGTAAAATAAAAAATTAAATAAAAATTTCAATTAATGAGCTCATTTTCTAATAAACAACAGACGCTAAGAGACTAATCGGTCGTCGTTTCGAAGACTCGTCGGTGCAGGGTGACATGAAACACTGGCCGTTCACCGTCACCAGCGACGGTGGCAAGCCGATGATTCAGGTCATGTACAAGGACGAGCAGAAAACATTTTCTCCAGAGGAGATCAGCTCGATGGTCCTCGTCAAGATGAAGGAGACCGCCGAAGCTTACCTCGGCAAGTCAGTGAAGGACGCCGTCATCACGGTGCCCGCCTACTTCAATGACAGCCAACGTCAGGCCACCAAGGACGCTGGAGTCATTGCCGGCCTCAATGTCCTCAGGATCATCAACGAACCCACCGCGGCTGCTATTGCCTACGGACTGGACAAAAAGGTAAAACAAATTCTAATTTTTTAAGTTTGTTTAAAATTTTTTTTAAACAGGCTCAGGGTGAGCGAAACGTCTTGATTTTTGATTTGGGTGGCGGCACCTTTGACGTGTCCATCCTGACCATCGAGGATGGAATTTTTGAGGTCAAGTCCACCGCTGGAGATACCCATCTTGGAGGAGAGGACTTTGACAACCGCATGGTCAACCACTTTGTGCAGGAGTTCAAGCGCAAGCACAAAAAGGACCTGAGCGTCAACAAGCGTGCCCTGAGGCGTCTGCGCACTGCCTGCGAAAGGGCAAAGAGGACCCTTTCCTCCTCAACACAGGCCAGTCTTGAGATTGACTCGCTCTTCGAAGGCATCGACTTCTACACGTCAGTGACTAGGGCTCGCTTCGAAGAGCTCAACTCGGACCTTTTCAGGGGCACCCTGGAGCCGGTACGTTAGAACAAGTTCTTATAAATCAAAATAATTTTACAATTTTCTCTCTGATTAGGTGGAGAAATCCCTGAGAGACGCCAAGATGGACAAAAACCAGATCCACGACATTGTCCTTGTCGGAGGCTCAACCCGAATCCCTAAGATCCAGAAACTCCTGCAGGACTTCTTCAACGGCAAGGAGCTCAACAGGTCCATCAACCCTGACGAGGCTGTTGCTTACGGAGCGGCAGTCCAGGCGGCCATTCTACACGGCGATAAGTCCGAGGAAGTGCAAGACCTGCTGCTCCTGGACGTCACCCCTCTCAGCTTGGGAATTGAGACTGCTGGTGGGGTGATGACCGCCCTTATCAAGAGGAACACAACAATCCCAACAAAGCAGACCCAGACTTTTACCACCTACTCAGACAACCAACCTGGAGTTCTCATTCAGGTAACTAATATTATTTATTATTTTTATTTATTTTTGTAAAAAAATTACGATTTTTACACAAAAGGTTTCACATGTTTTTTTCTAGCAAACATTTTTCCGATAAAAATTATCAAAAATTTTCATTAATTATTTTTCCCTCAGGTTTACGAGGGCGAGCGGGCTATGACAAAGGACAACAACCTACTGGGAAAGTTTGAGCTGACCGGTATCCCTCCGGCGCCACGCGGTGTGCCTCAGATCGAGGTGACCTTTGACATTGACGCCAACGGCATTCTAAATGTCACCGCCATTGAGAAGTCAACCAACAAAGAGAATAAAATTACCATTACCAACGACAAGGGCCGACTCAGCAAGGAGGATATTGAGCGCATGGTTAATGACGCCGAGCGATTCAAATCTGAAGATGAAAATCAACGCACCAGGGTAAGCAAAAATTACTTAAATATCAGCAGAAAAGTAATTGAAACCTCCTGCATAAAATTATGTCACTGGATTAAAAATAAAATTATCAATAATTTAATCTTCTGTATTTCAGGTTTCGGCAAAGAACGCACTTGAGGCATATTGTTTCAACATGAAGTCGACCATGGAGGATGAGAAGATCAAGGACAAAATCCCTGACAGCGACAGACAAACGGTTTTGGACAAGTGCAACGAGGCCATCCGCTGGCTGGACGCAAACCAGCTGGCAGAAAAAGAGGAATTTGAGCACAAGCAAAAGGAGCTGGAGGGCGTTTGCGGACCAATCGTCACAAAACTTTACCAACAAGCTGGAGCCGGCGCTCCACCCCCAGGCGCCGCCGCCGGAGCAGCCCCCGGCGCTGGTGGAGCTGCAGGACCAACCATCGAGGAAGTTGATTAATTGTCAAAAGAGAATTTTATGGACCAAAGATTGTGCAATTACTGAGGCAATAAATTATTGCTGAGATACATAAAAAAAATTGCAATTATTTAAGAAGAAAAATGATAATTTAATGAAAAGGGTCGTTTTTATTTCTATTGGCCGCCGAGTCTGTAGTTTCTCTCACAAGTGGAAAAGTTTTTTAAGCACGTTTATGTCCTGAGCTATCACGCAGTTCACTTCTTCAATTTGTTTTCACTTTTTAAGTCAAAATAACGCACGAGTTTGGAGAATTATCACGGAATCGCACCGACAACGTGTAAAGAATGGTTGAGACGGTACCTTATGTGCAGCAGGGCGGTGGTTTGCAGACGGGCCGAGTTCACAGGCACTGCCTCTCCGAGGCCCAAGTCCCACACTTTCACCAAGCCACTCGAAGAGGCCGCAGCCAAGCACCTGCCATCTTTGCTCCACGCCAAGTGGGATGCTCCACCTGCGCCAAAACTCAACTGGGCCCGACAACGTCCTTCGCCAACATCCCACAAGCGCACCTAGAAAAAAATGTCAATGAGGCTATTAAATTTTAGTTTGCTTATTTTTAATTCAGACGTTTCAAAATAAGGTAAGGGATCAAATTTCATGATTATAAATTCAACTGAAACATTTTATTTATTTGACACTTTTTTTGTTTAATTTTCTTCAATTTGTCAATTAATTGAATTTCCAAATTTTTAACAAGTGTATTGTAAAATATTTACTAACAATAAGAAATTTTTTCCAAATAAAAAAGCAGGATAAAGATATTAAATTCCGTAACCTATAAAACCCAATTTTTGAAAAATGGAAATCACGCAAACCTGAGAATCGTCTCCTGCAGAAGCCAAAGTTCGGCCATCAGGGTGGAACGACACAGCTCTGACAGCACCTTCGTGTCCACTGAGGAGTCGGACAGTCCGGCCGTCACTCACATTCCAAAGTCTAATTGTGCTGTCACGCGCCCCACTGGCTAGGTAGAGGCCATTTTGGTGAAACTGCAAGGTGGTGGGCGCCTTCAAGTGTCCGGCGTAGGTACGAATGGGGTGGCAGAACTCGGGTGACCACAACTTCAGGGTCAAGTCGTCCGATGCGCTACCAAAGTAGAGATTCCGCTGACAAATACTGAGACTGTGAACCACACCATTGTGACCTCTGAAAGGAAATTTTCATAATATAAATTATATTTCCAATTTTAAAAGGGAAAATTTTCACCTGTAGATGGCAGAACATCGTAATGTTTCATTGGGCCAAAGTCTGATTGTGTGGTCTACCGAGGCAGTAAGCATTGCTTTGTCCAAGTACCAAACTACGGCTCTCAAAGGGCCGCAGTGGCCAATTAATCTCTGGTGCCTAAAAAATTTGAAAATTTAGTTTAAAAAATTGCTTATCTGAATAATACTTACGCATGGCCAGTTGCCAAAGTATCCGGAGTCAAACTCCAAACCTCACAGAGCCCATTATCAAGACCAGCAGCCAAAACGGAAGCATCATTATTTAATGACGCACAAGCAATACTAGTAAAAACATTTGAAATTTTTGCTTCGCCCTAAGAATAACATAACTCACGGATTTGTTTTAGAGTTAGCAATGAAAAAGGCTTGCATTGGCATGGGTTGAACTGGCGCCTCTTTGAGGGCTCTGAGCGCAGAGGCCAAGTCTTTGGATGCATTTGCTTCTTCTGGAGGATCTGGAGGGCCTGAGGCTCCAATGAGATTTGAGCTTTCTCCTTCATTGTCTGAATCAACCTCTATGGTCGTTCCACTTGCCATGGGGTCTGGCAGACAAATCCACTGAGCAATAACCTAAAAATGTGCATTTCATTAGCATATTTTCATAAAAGTAGCAATCGAATAATACCTGAAGAAGTTGTGTTGATTCGCACGAAACAAGATAGGCTCTGAGTTGGTGAAGAGTTTCCAAAGACAGTCGAACTTCACTCTTTTCACTTCTACAAAAAACAAATTTTGATTTAAAAATGAAATAAGTTATTAATCAAATCTTTGGTTACCTGAAGTGTTCGACTGAAGGTCTACTGAGGAGATCAGCACAGGTCCCAAGGGCCAGAAGGTCGTCGATCAACGAACTATTTGAAACACTTCCTGTGTAGTGTCTTTTGAGAAATTTGTAAGCATTGACTCTGTTTCCTAAAGCAGCACCGACCAAGTCCAGGTACATGTGGCTCAAAATCAAGGGTAACAACTGGCCGAGCTCCACTTTTGCTCGATCGTCTGACAATTTTCCAATCCAGTTTTTCAGTCTAAAAATTGGCGAAATTAATCATTCAGGCCATATCAAAAATTAGAGTTTGATTTTCTCACCTGGAAAACTGCTGATCGTAGGCTGCCAGGTCGGGTGGGGCGTTGTTCACGGCTAGGACGTGACCCTGACTGAGTCTGGCCGCCAATTCGGCCCGATCAACCATTTCGTCGGCACTCACCTCTGCACAAACCTCAAAGACTTCGTCGTCGACGGCCTGCGAAAATTGCGAATTGACTCCGGTTTAAAACTTTGTCCTGACGTAAGGGCAGTTGTTTGGACACTCACCGTGTAGTTGCGCCTTCGCAGGTATGTACAGACCGTCTGTCGAACGCCCTCCAGTTCGGCCCGACTCATTTTCGGCAGGTTTGTTTACGGCATGGGAAGAAGGGCCGGTGTTTACAACAGTAAAAGTAAAAGCAAGAAATTAGTTTTCAACTCGGCGCTAGAGGCAGCACTTTCGCATTGGCAGAGCTTCGCGGGGTTTTGGCGGACTTAGCGCGTGTAAACCATGGATCTAAGAATCTTCAATGTAAGATCCCATGGTGCAAAGTTGGAAATTCCTCTAAAATAATCTCTCTATGCAAAATAAAAAATTATTTACAAAAAAAATCAATTAAATGTTCCAGGGTAGAGTGTCTTCAGTAAATGAGAGAAGTAAACCTAAATTGAATTATTTTAAAAGTTAAGTATTTTTTAATTAATTAATTATTTTTTTAAAAAAAAAAAAGAATACTTTCTTGTAAATAATATGAATAATACAACTCTTATAATATTTCCGCATATTTCATAGCATTCTCTTTAATTTCAAGAGCAAATCATGTGTGGCTGCATTAACGCCGGAGGTAATGAAAACTTATCTTTCATCTCCTGGTTGTGCTCACTTAATGCGATTTATAAAATATTCAATTGCAAACAACACTTGCCTCACTATTAGAGGTTGCGGCCGATGCCACAGCCGCAGAGCAACAGAAATCCCAAGCACGTGGCAATTTTACCATTGCGAAATTTTTTTGAATTTTTCTTTTGAAGTGGTGAGGGGAATTTGTCTGTGCAGTTCAATAATTTATTTTACATAATATTTTACTCTAAATAAGGAAAAGTCATGTTAAGTTTCTTTCATCATCCAGAAAAAAATAAATGAATATCGCACACAATTATTTCTTTAACTTGAGAAATATCTGAATACCTTTATATATTCTAAAAATAAAGCGCTCCAGACCTTTTCATGGAACTGATGAAGTGATAAGTCATGCTATAAAATGATCCAACACATTCAAGAGCATTGAGCAATTTGACTCTTAATCACCATGCATCCTTCCAACTCTATTAGTTCAAATTCAAAGTCACTATCAATCAGAGTTTCACTAATCAAAAAGAAGTGTGTCATTATTCTCATATGCACTGCATTCTAACGGCACTGCAGTGCGCGGAGCGTTGCATTCAAACCTTTATAACAACAGATGCACTACGCTTGCAACAAAAATGATGCAATAATTCACTAGACAGATGTAACCAAGAGCAGTGAAATTCATTATCGCAGCTCGCTAGAGCCAACTTGTACGAAGGCCTTGTCAGGATAAAAATAATTATGTTCTAATTGAAAAGAAAAGTTTCTATCTGAAAACAAAAGCTTCCAAGTAAAATATAAATGCAAGCCACCAAAAATAAGCAGTAGTTAGCTAGTGTTAAAAATTATTATAATATTTATTTATAATTAATTATGTGATAATTGATAATTTTTATTCATAATAAATATGCATTGATTTTTACTGATTATACCATTTAAACTATTTATTCCCATTGAATACTATTTAAAAATTCTCTGACTTTTCTTTGTAGTGATCATAATAATATCATTCAGTTGAATTTTTAATAAAATTATAAAAAAAAAAATTATGGTAAGATGGTAAAATTGAAAATTAATTACAATTTCATTGATGAAATTATTTATTTAATGTAATTAATTGCTTTCAGACAAACAATATCTTTTTGCGCTAATCAAAATATGTGGCACGCTATTACAATCAATACATTTTTTTTCTTTCCGCATGAACCAAACATGTATGAATGCCAAATTGTTGTTATGTGCTATACTATATTAAAGTTCTATGTAAATAATAAATCATAAAATCGTCTATTGCGAAGATATCAAAGAAGACGTGGATGTTGGGGCGGTGGGGGCTTAAAGAGGCGCCACCGTCGGCGCTGTCATCACCCGGCTGGCGCAGCGCCCGGTGGAGGTGCGTCAGCGCCAGTCGCAATGACGCAGAAGCAGCGGCCTCCAGCGGTGCCGGCCCAGTGCAAGCCGCTCGCCCCCGATGGCGGCTGGGGGTGGGTCGTGGTTCTGGGGGTGGCCCTGGCAAACGTAAGTTCATTTGGCACTAAACTCCTTATCTCAAAGTCACCTTATCAATTGATTAGCTTTAATTGACTTGTTTGTGTTTGGCGCGCCGATGAAATTATTTGGCACTCGGACAGACCTGCTCCTCTAACAATTGGCTCGTCTCGTCTCGACAAACTTTTACGCTTCATTTGGAAATTCGCGATCCTTCGCCTCTTATGCAATAGAAAATATCTTGATTTCTTATGGTCCCTTCCAGCTGAGAGCATTTTTATATTTTTTTTAAAGTAACTAAAAAATATTAACTGGAAACGCAGATACTTAGTGGCTGAGAATAAGTCTTCTGTAATATAAACGCTTGCTTGCTAAAGATTAATATTTTGCCTTCAAAGTTTCATGGTAATTTAATTCTTTGAGGTTCAATTTGACTGAAAAATTATAAACTGTTTTTTACTTTTCCTGACACTTTTAAATGAAGCTCGGATTTTGTATACTTGTATTATATAATAAAAAAAATTGCGAAAAATTGTAAATAAAAATTAAGCATTAATTATCCTTGCACGCCTTTGGCGTTTTATCAATATATCAATCAAATACTAAGCAATAAATCAAAGAGCAATTTTTTTTAACATTATTATTAAATTAATAAAATAAAATTTGGGTTTAAAAATTATAACCATATTTTTATTTTTTAAATCATTTATTTGATAGCTTGTAAAAACAGTTTTTATTATTTAAAAAAAAAAACATAGTATCAGAAGCTAAATTTTCATAAAATAAAATATTCATCCTCTGTTATAAAATTATTTTCAGCCGCTGTATAACTTCATTGAATTATAAAAACAAATCTACGTCAGCCCTCGTTTACAAAACGAAAATTCTTACAAGAAGTTTATATAATTTTCGTGTATAGTGTATAATTACTATAACTATATTTAAATATAAAATTATTTTAAAGAGATAAGATATATTGATATTTAATATTTTATTATATATTTAATATTTATTATAAAATACCGTAAAATACCATAATTATAAAATATTTTTATTTTTATTCTCTTTCTAAATCGTATGACGAGTTCTTATAGAAAAAGCACACTAGATTCTTATTATGTTGTTCAAGGGGCATCCCCCCTTTGGGTGATTTATACCGTTTTAGAATGTGTTTAGTGTTTGTCATATAGCGACGTGTAATAAAAATGATTTGCGTCACTCCTATTATTTAAAACAGCCCCGCAGGCAGCGAAATCAAACCTTCGGACTGATTCACGCCGTGTCATTCCTTCCGAGTCAATGATCAAAAGAGCACGCTCTTGGTGAATGGGCACGAATCGAGCAAATAATAATCGCTTTACACATTAATTGAGTCAAAATTTGAAACCTCGTGCGTCACACGCGCGCCGGAATTGTTTTGGTCCGCCTAGTTATATAGACAGCTCGTACACGATGAATTTTCATCAACACCCAGTGAAATCACATATTATTGTTATTCAAGTCGAGAGTAATGAGAGATAAGGTCAGTTTCATAACAGGGTGTGTTAGACCAGTGCACATTATATCGGTCAGATTATTTCTCGAGTGGATGCTAATTGAACGCGGTTGCGGCTAAATATCCGAGTATATCCGCAACACCGTGAATTATGAAACCTATCATAGATACAAATCGATACAGAAAATTATAATAAAATATATCATAATTTGTTAAATTTATATTATAAAATGAGTTTATTACACTGAGTATAAATTTGTTATGTGATTTGTTTATATTGAGTCAAGATTGAAAATAGAAACAAATATCAAAATTCCATTTTCGTCACTTTACTTTTCCATGTGAAAATTTCTCGTGGTTCAATGAACTCCAGTTAAAATTTAAATGAAGAAAATTATTTAAAATACTGCTAAAATGTATTTTATTGTAAAAAGTAAGTGGTGGTGACTTGATACTTTGAAATAGAATTTCAAGGAAAATGTTGTAAGTATTTTTCAACCTAAATATTAAAAATATTTTTTGTAGCATACATAAATTGAGAAAAATAAAATGTATATTGAGCGAGAAAATAATCCTTTGAAAACATTGCCCTTTTAGATGACAACACAATCGCTGGTCTCTACCTTTGGCCTCCTCTTCGGCGAGGCCCTGCACGCCATGGGCCAAGCAACAACCGGGGCCGCCCTAGTTATGAATTTCATGAGCGCTACGACCAATTTGTCAGGACTGATCACAGGACCAATCATGAAGTACTTTTCCTTTCGACAAGTGGCTCTTGCAGGCGCCATCCTTTTCTCAGTGGGTCTTCTTTTAGCCAGCATGGCCACCAACGTTACCCACTTGTTGCTCACCTACAGCCTCCTTAGTGGTAATTTAATTAAAAATATGGATTTTTGTTTAACTACAATAAAAAAATTTTGATAAATTATTTAAACAAAAAATTCTTAAATTGCAAAAATATTATTGTGGTTTATTAAAAATATATTTTATTTTATTACTCATTATCAGAAAAAAATGCATCAATATTCAAATTTTACATGAATTAAGAAGAAAACAGGACCAACAAGTTACTGGATGATGACTGTTTGCTATAATAATTTTATTATGAATAAATTAAGATTTCTTGTCCTTATATTATAAATTTTTATTTAATTTTTTTTTAAATGTATTGAATATTTTGCATTCTCTTAAAAAAGTTGAATAAAATTTAAAAATATTTAATATAAATTGCTCAAATAATAAAAAATAAAAAATAATACAAGTAATTCAAAAATATAAATGAAAATTTTTAAAGTTTAAAGAAAAATATAAAAAATATCTAAAAATATTTAAATGATTTATATTTTATTCTGTTAAAATATTGCAAATTTTTGTTAGGTTTGGGTCTAGGTCTCACAGGCCCTGCTTCCTTCGTCGCCCTCTCGACCTATTTCACGACCCGCAGAGGTCAAGCCGTGGGTCTGGCCCTTGTGGGCACCGGCATGGGCCAAATGCTGATGCCCCAAGTGGTTCGCGCCTTCCTCGACTGGTTTGGCTTTTCGGGGGCAATGCTCTTGATCGCCGCCCTCAGTTTGCACGCCGTCCTTGGAGCGGCCCTTTACAGACCATTAACGGGGCCTTCCAAACCCTTGAAGGAACCTGAACTCAGGTCGCTACGAAGACTTTCCAACGCAGAAATGGGCAGCGAACTTGGAGTTGAAGTGATTGCTGCTGAAGTCCTTGAAGACAATGAAACAAAAGACCGGAAATTAGAGCTAGAGGAGCTAGAAGGTATTTTTTTTTAAGACAAAATTATTTACTTCAAAATTAATATTAAAAAATCAACCGTGAACAGAACTAAAAACGTTTGTAATTTAGTTGACTTTAACGTTACTAAAACATTTCTTCACTGAAATTTAATTTCAAAACCTGTGAATAATTGTAAAAATTGTGAAGTGTATTAGGGGAAAATTAATAAAAATGTGATCTTTTTTTTATAAAGCGTCAACTTGTTTGGGTCGATTTGCTGCTGCTTGGCACCTCCGACTTTTCCGCGATTCATCCTTTGTGAACATCGTGGCAGGTTTGGCCGCGTTCAACGTGGCCAACATAAACTTCTCAATGGTTTTGCCTTTCCTGCTGATGGACCACGGCCTTACGAGATCTGAGGCCGCTCTCTGCATGAGTGTGACGGCTGCCGCTGACATCGTGGCGAGATTGTTGGTGCCCTTCATTCGTCTCAAACACATGGGTGCCAAAAACACCCTGATGACCGCAATGGTTGCTTTGGCCTTCACTAGATCACGTAAGTTGTATTTAAACGTTACTAAAATGTTTTAACTCCCTTGTTTGATCTCAAAATAAAATTTAATACAATGTAGTTTCATTAAATTTTTGAGTGGATATTAATTTAAAAAGTATTTAAGTATTGTTTATGAATAAAAACACCGACTCATATTCAATGAGCACAATTTAATGAGATGATTCACGATGTATGCAACCTGCAGTAGACGGAAGCAATACAAGTTGCATAAACTCCCACCTCTTTTAATCTTTGTAATTTTGAATTAATTCTTATTTACAGTTCTGGCGATGCAAAGCACCCTGAATGAGTTTTTGGCCGTCTCCGTGGCCGCCGGCCTCGTGCGTGGGGCGGCCATTCTGAATTTAAACTTGGTGATAGCCGAGCACTGCTGCGACGAAACTCTGCCTGCGGCCCTTGGCATTAACATGGTTGCGAAAGGAGTCGTAATTCTCACGATAGGACCTCTTCTTGGTGAGTTTTTTGTTAGCGTTTAAATTGGAAATTTCATGAAATTTGACACATTCAGGCTGGCTGAGAGATGAAACTGGCAGCTTTAGTCTCTGCGTCCACGTGCAGTCGGCCCTTCTTGTGGCCGCCGCTCTTTCATGGGCCGTCGAGCTGATTTTCCGCCACTACCAACACCACAGATGATATTGCCGATTCAAAAAAATACCAAACCTGAGGTGGAAGACTGACTATCCGGCCAGCCGTTTCATTGTTGCAACGGTCTTGTTTGTATTATTCTCTCCACTTTAATTGCAGTTAACGGGTTGCCTTAAAACTCGAAAATTGACGCTCTCAAAAAGTATCATACGAATAAGGTAAATAAGCTTTATATGCATATTTTATGAACATTTCATTAGGAATTTAGGTAATAAAATAATTTCAATCAAGATAGATTCATGTTAATTGAAATTTTTATCTTCCTGCAAATTTAAACAGGTATTGTGATTGCTTTAAAAAAAATTGTATAAAGAATCTATTTTATTATTGCTATACTCATTAGATGCGTACATATTAGTGATTTTGATATTAGAATAAATTAAATAAATATCGTAAAATAGTAAAATAGAGGAGGTAATATTTAAATTTATAAAATGGCCACTTGATTCAATTTTGAGAATGCTTCAACCAAACCGATTAACTTAAAAGCGGAATGCACTCTTGAGGTACTTGACACGCAAAGTAAAACGATGCCGAGCAGGGCGAATCTTTCAGCTTTGACCCGTAAACGTAAGCGCAATCTTCTCTACCGTGCGAGACCTGATCTGGTTGTCCCGGGAACCAAAGGGCCGAAGCAACTTTTCTCCCGCTCGGCCAGTGGAATTGTCCAGCAGCGTGTCCTCTGTCGGAAGCTGCTGTCCAAAAAGCAACATCTAAAAAGAAAAAACCGCTATAAATATTTAAATATTAAAAAAGCGTTTTCATATTACGGTATCCGAGTGATCTGACTCGACCAACTTCCAAAATTTCATCTTCTGATTCTGCAGAAGCTAATTCCAAGCCACGTGCGCGGCAATAGTCATTGGCAGACAACCACGGCAACTGAAAGTAACTTTTGAAAATGCGAGATTTTTTCACAAATTGTAGCTTACGGCAGTTATGTGGTTGAAATAATAAATTCCGGAATTAGTCCTTGTCAGTTCAAGGCCCCTACCTATTTTATGAAACATTTTATTTAATTATTTTTAAATTTTAACCAAATTTACCAATACGTCCACATTTTTCAGTCATGTTTTTGTTATCGATTTCATTTGTGTCATCATCAACAACCGGCTCTGATCTCAATTCATTGCAAATCGCCAACTTCGTCAGCTTTAAATTGAAAATATGATTAGAAGCTCGTACGTCATTCCTTATAACAGTGACATTTTACTTACAACATTTTTATTTTCATTTTCAAGACGATCAATGCTCTTTCTCAGCTGTTCCATTTGTGTTTGCATGTCTGTGTAATTGACCAAATTTTCAGCAGCCAGTTTTTGCAACTGTATTTTTTCCTCTTTCAATTCGCTCAACTCTTTAGTAATTTCTTCTTTCAGCGTGATTTCCGCGTCCAACCGGACTTGTAAACTTTCCTTGCTTTCTTTTTGCTTGGCGACAATATTTTCCCAGAAAGTCTCATTTTCTCTCAATGCGTTTACTTCCACTTGCAAGGTAGTCTTTTCCCTTATCGTGTCATCCAACTTCTCCTGCAACTCGCTTTTTTCTTGCTTCTCAGTCGCCAGCTCCGCTTCCAGCGTTTCTTTTTCGCCTTTCGTTCTTTCCAGCTCCGTCTTGGTATCTTCTAGATCCGGACTCGCGGTGCCAACACCGACGTTCTCCAACTCCTGTTTGCATTTTTGCAGCTCGCCACCGAGCTCGTCAAAACTCTATTGCAAAATAATTTTATGTAAAAACAACAACGACCACAAAAATTTAATAGACCAACCGAGGCGTAGTTTGCGACTTCGTCATCCAATCCTTTTAAAGATTCGTCGCATTTTTTCTTTTCCTCCTCTAACTTTGCAAATTCTCTCATTTTTTTATCGCACTCTCTTTTTTCCTCTCTACATTTTTGTCCCAATTGACGTGTGCTGATGCTCAAAATCTGGAAACTGCGCTCCACAGATTCTTTGGCAGTTTCGCAGTCGACTTCTTTTTTATTATTTTGCTCCTCTTTAGCCTGGAAAAGCGCATTGCACGAAATTAAATACGACGCTCAAAAGAACACAGAGAGACATACAGTAAGCAGTCTTGCCTTCAAATGGAGATAGCGGTTTTTTGCTAATAAAGTAGACCTGTCAAGAATAGTAATTGGACACGCGCAGTTCTTAATAGTATAGTTTCTGTTCAAATTTTAAATTGCGTCTTTAAAATAATACACCGAACTGAAATATTATATGCTATTTAATTTAATGATAATTAATATCTTTATATTGGATTGACCATAAGTGCGGTTAAAATTTTGGGCACACAATGCTATTATAGTGATAGATACTCTAATAAACAAAATGATTTTCTCTTTAATTAGGAGTTAAAAACAAACTATAATCTTTGCTATGCTACTCAGTCTTCTCTTATATTCTTTCCACGTGTTTCCACGTCCTAAATGAAACATAATTGAACCTCACAAATTCCTATGACCATTTTGAAATCTAAAATTTTTATTTCTTTAAAGATTTTTTTTGTACTTTTTATCTTAAATTCAATTGAATTTAAAAAAAAAACTAACTGTTTTCTTTCAATCTGAATAAATTCTAAGAAAATAAAAATTTAAAAATCAGACCTGGATTGTGGCCAGAATGAGCAGCAGAAGGAGCACCGTTGTTCTCTGCATTTTGTGCCAACGCGGACTGACGAGAGCACCAAAGCAAAGGCCAATGCCAATACCCTGACCGCCCACCTTTGACAGTGACTCACGCACCTGAGCATCGGTTAACTGGCCTTCCTAGGTTGGGCGACGCTCCCAGCCCCGCTATGAATTATTTAAATCGCGCATCGCGGATGGCGATTATCTCGTCTCATTTGCCAACGCATCCACGATTCTTGAAGCGCGCAGGCTCACCTTATATTGTTCATGTTTAATCCAGAAATAAATAAAATTACATGAATTTGAACGATTAATTGCAAGTGCAGCAATTAAGTGAGTTATCGAGGTGCGGTGAATAGTTCTTTTTGAGAAAAAAAATATTAATAACCAATGCAAAACAAACTTTACATAAATTGTAAATATTTGAAAAATTGATTAAAATGTAAAATTTATTATTGTATAAAAACATATTTTTAATTCTCTTATATTTTATATAATCAAGTGATAAAATTTTATTTTAAATAGAAGGACTTTGTCAAATGTGGTAAGTAAAATAATATAATTTTATAGTAAAAATATAAATAAATCAACTTGCAAAACATTTGATCAATCAGGTTAAATTAAATCTTAAATTGACTTGCTTTTGGTTTGGTTATATTTTGGCAAACAATTTTTCAAAAATTATTTTATCTAAAAATTCAATAAATTTGTATTCACTTTCAAATGAAGCAAAAAAATTTATTATTACTTCTTATAAACCAAAAAATTTTGTAATACCTTGAAAAACTATGAATAAGGCATTCATCAAAATTCTTGCTCTTGTCTGCTCAATATGACCATGCATGGTTTACAACGTTTACAACATCTGTGATATTCTTTTTTTCTTGAGGGCAGTTTTTGCTGTTTTACGAACAGCAGGGTCGCTGGCCTAACTCGGAATAGAGAGCAGGTCTGACGAGTCTGCAGTGACAAAAAGCGGACCTAATAATACAGGAGCAGCGCGCAAAAGCCTCGCACACAGACATTTTTCGTGGGAAAGGGTTGTGCGACTGGGAATCGTATGGCAGGTTGTTTTCATTTTCGAGAAAGACAGGCTGCACAAGAATCGCGAGGAGTGTGGTGAGAATAAACATTGTTGTTTCACTCAGATGCCCCCAACGAATAATAATCCATGTATAGTCGCAGCGACAAATTGATTTCAGTTGACGGCAAACTGATAAGTCATGAAACTACTTTTAAGATGCAAGCTGCTGAAGGGTCCATTATTATTCGATTTGCATAAACTGCACTCTTGGAAATATTAAAAATATGAAACAAATACAAAAGTAATTTTTTTCCTTTAACCAATCAAACGAGTTGCATTTGCAGTGCACTTTACGTGAGGTACGTTTTGCATTTAAAAGAAAAGCAAATGCAGAGATAAAAAAAAATGAGCAAACAGCAGCAGCCACCATTTAAGGCAGCGCGCGTCGCGACTTTCGTCAATCACAATGCACCACGGGTAGTGTGTGCTCGAGCATTAAATTCAATTGTCATCGCGGCGCAACGAGATTGCAGGCGAATAAAAAGCGAATGTCAAAACTGCATTGTTAATGGACTGGTCCAGCGTCGTCGCAGCGCGGTTCAATGCTCGCGCCGCTTCTTTTTATTTATTTTCAGCCGGCTCGACGAGCTTCTTTTTACTCTGCACAATTAAATGACTGTCATTATTTCTGTTAAACACAAGTAATTGCGCGGCCGTGGCTGCTGCTTGAATTGAGTTGCAATTAGAAATAAATAAAAAGCAAAACGCACAAGACGATTTCCAGTGGTAACATAAGTGCGCGCTTTGCGTTTATTGAAGATGTATAACAATGATTTAACAACGGACGTTCAGGTGCCCTCAGTCTGATTAATGTTTGCCGCCGCCTCCATGGTAGCAGGTGCATTTGCAAGATCCTCCTTTGCCGCCTCCTCCATTGCCTCCACCACCTCCTTTTGATAAAACATTGTTGGTTAAAAAGTTTGGCAATAAATTTATCTCATTACCGTGGCCGCCTCCACCGCCACCTCCACCACTCTTGCCTGAAAATATTTAGCAAAAATATATTTTATACAAAACATTAGAGAAATCTTTAGCAATTAAATATAATTTGTATTAAAAACCAGGTAAACATGAGCAAAGATAGACCTCTTCAAAAAGAAAATTATTTTTTTGGCAAAAATCTGGTGATAAAAGATTTAGTTGAAAACAAACCTCCTCCGTATCCACCCCCGCCGCCTCCGTGACCTCCCCCGCTATATCCACCGTGGCCTCCTCCGCCGTATCCACCTTTAAGATGTTTTTTTTTTTTACAGATTTTGTTTTACTATTTCAATATTTTGAAATTAATTTTTATTTAATTAGTTGCTTTTTGAAAATTTCTTACTTCTTATATATTCACCCCTATTTATTTAAACCTACCTCCACCTCCTCCGTGGCCACCGCCGCCATGTCCGCCTCCGCCGCCACCTCCACCGCTCTTGCCTTGAACAAGAGTTGGCATAATTAGTTTAATTAAAAACTGATATTTTTTGTAAAAACTAATATTGCTCATGGATTATTCAAATATTCCTTATTTATATAAGATCAGCTACAAAGAAATGCCTTTTTGAAAATTTCTTACTTCTTATTATGTATATTCACCCCATTTATAAATTAAAACCTACCTCCACCTCCTCCGTGGCCGCTACTGCCATGTCCACCACCTCCTTTATATTGATTTAAATTAGAATTAATTATTCGCATCGTAACATGTAATTTTTTACCGTGACCACCTCCGCCGCCTCCACCACTCTTGCCTGGAACATTATTGGGGGGAAAAATGATGAAACGGTTCAAGACTAATTTTATTTTGATTTTTTCAGCTTCAAAAATTATTCACTTGTGTGAATCGGATTTTAAATTAAAAAATAACCTACCCCCTCCGTGCCCACCACCGCCACCTCCATGACCTCCCCCACTGTATCCTCCATGGCCGCCTATAGATAAAATTGTTTAACAATTTTATGTTTAAAAATTTAAAATATTTCTCAATAAAACTATTCCAATGTGTGTACTTAAAAGAACACTTGTTATATGCTTACCTCCTCCACCTCCTCCATGGCCGCCCCCACCACCTCCTGTTTTATTTAAAATAATTATTAAGCTGAAAACAAGTTATATATAAAATTTTACCGTGACCACCTCCGCCTCCTCCAATACTCTTGCCTATAAATAATATTTTGCGTTAGTCAGCGAGCAGTGCGTTTTAACTCTTCAACTTGTTGTTTTTTTTTAAGATATCAATATTTTGTTGAAATGTGATTTTATTCAGTTTAGCTGATTTTAGGTATTTTTTCTTGTTTGTTAAATAAGGTGTACCAAAATTGGTGGAAAGCCATTTGTAGTTATATAAAAAAATCAATGAGGAAAAAGCCCATATTCTGCACACTCGAAAGAAATATATAGATTTATATTTTTTTTGCTTACATAAATTTTAAGTTAAAATCCCTTACCTCCTCCATGTCCGCCCCCACCGTGGCCTCCGCCGCCGCCGCCACCATGACTTCCTCCACCGCCTCCGTGACCTCCTCCATCACCTCCGTGGCCACCACCACCGCCTCCATGACCACCTAGTTAAAAATCAACACACATTGTCACTTATTTAAAATTACTTTTTCTTAACAATTATGTTTTGATTTTTTTTATTTAAGAATTCATGGCAACTCTACAATGTTAATTAATGATCCGCATTTCTTTTTCAAATTTTATAGGTCTAATGAGAATTGATGCTCACTAAAAAATTTTTTTTTAGCAAAAATTAATAAACTTTTTTCAAAACTATTTTTCTTGATACTGTCAATTCCACTTTAAGAGTTCAAGCTATACCTCCTCCGCCTCCATGTCCTCCTCCGCCACCTCCATGTCCACCGTCCCCACCTCCGCCATATCCCCCGTGGCCTCCGCCTCCACCTGAAAATATAACCATATTATGAAATTAATACATTTTGAATTAAAATATAAATTGTATAACGTAGAATTATACAAAAAAAGTAGTATCCTCACCGCTATAGCTTCCATAGTAACCAGCCTCGGCGACGGCCACCACCAGCGCTACAAGCGCCATCACCACCTGAGAAAAGTCATTATTAGACACCCTGAGGATACTTTTGGTGGCACGAGCAACTCACCATCGGCTTCCTCATGTTTGCAGTTTGACTGTGGTCCACTGGCCTGTGGTTGACACTTTTATAGGGGCGGCCATTCAGGTGGAAACAGTGAAAGCGCGGGTGCTTCTTTGTACCAAATGCAGCGCAGAGCTGGACCAGTGACGCGTGCCGCTCTCATAGCGAAAGTCCTCCGGCATCTTCGCCGGGTCACTCAACTGTCCAAGGCCGTCTGCTCCACCTAAATCATTATTAGTTTTTGTCGGGCCCGCCAGTGTAGGGGCAGCCCGTGGGTGAAGCACACGCAAAACATGTATCTCGTACTTTTGGTGCTCATCAGATCCATATTCGGGGCTCAAAGTTCTCCAGAGCGCTTTTGGCCACTTGTGCAAGAGGTTGAAGGTCATCTCGCGGCTAATTTCCGAAATGTGTCTGAAGCCGTCCTACTGGTGGGTGGACCAGGAACGGGAAAGACGTCTTTGGCCATGTTACTCGCCGCCGACCCTTCTCTAACGACGGAAAGATCAACGGCTGGAAATTTACTCTCAGACGGCGGCCGGAAAATAAACCGGCCGACAATTCTGCCGAATTTCATGCGAGACGCAGAAACAGGGGTGGTTTTGGTCGATTGCCCATCGCCCACTGAACTCGAGGAAGAATTTTCCGCAGCAGAGTTTGCAACCATTAAGGTTTTATCTCTCTTAAAAAGAGTGAAAGTTCTAGTGGTGGAAAATCACTTTGGTTTGGTTGAGGGTGGAGACAAAGAGGGTGGAAATAGGGTGAAAAAGGCTGTAAGGCGATTTGGAGAAGTGGCCGCCGTCGTTGCAACAAAAGGTGATAATAACATTGATGGCGTTTTCGGACCCAAAATCGACGCCCAAGTGGTGCAGTTTCCGCGCCCTTTTCGTCCCGGAAGCCCTTTAACCACCCTGCAACAAACTTCCCTGTCGATTAGGAAAATTCTTGCTAACGTAGAGTGGAATAACGAGTTAAAATTAAAACCCAGCGAAAGAATGTCGTGCTTTTTGAGAAAATTGATATCGCGCATTTCAATCGAGTTTGCGCAGGCTTTTGCGAAATTTATGTCCGAGGCAAAAGTCAACGGCCTGAAATCAGTCGAGACGGCGACAAATAGGCACAATGCATCGGCCGCGTTAACTGCAAGAATGAGCGCGCTGCAATCTCTAAATTATTCAGACTTGGTTGCGTCACTGAGAGATTTCAACGCGAGTAGCGAACGATTGGATTCACTTGCAAAACAACTCGACTGGATGCACGACGCGGCGGAGATAAAAATCCCACGAGATGAGATCGATTCGGCCTTGGAACGAGTAATTAAGGAATTTGATAAATTACACCGATTCTACGAATTCCTCGGTGACACTCAAACCACTCTGCGGGAGTACAAATACCTGAAAAACCGCGGGCACTTAGCCGAGCTGCTGCAGGACTTCACGACGTTTGACAGTCTGGTTATGTCCCTCGCGGCCCTCGATTTACAGCCGCGACCTCAGCTGCTTGGGCTTCCTCTTTTGCACTGGATGAAGCATGACCTGGACGACGTTTTCAGCAAAAAACTAAAATTCGAAGATTGGAGTGTGGAGAACGGCGTCGTGGCCGCCGCACCCTATGTCTTACTAAGCGAAGCGGCCAAGAAGTACGAAGGCCGAAATAAACCTATCGTCCTGATGGCCTCACAAATAATATTCATAGATCAAAATTTGACTTTAGAAAACGGAGAAGATTTAATTATAATCGCTCCGAAAGTGCAAATTGTAGGAGATAATGTGACATTGGATTTGAAGGGAGTGATAGGGTGGTCGAGGGTGGACGTGCCCTTGCAAGGAGATGGACTGGCAGGTGGTGCTGGTGGAAACGCGGGCAATCTTTTAATTTTTTGCACCCAACTGATTGGAGCGGAAAAACTGCTGGTGCGCAGCTCAGGCGGAGACGGAGGAGCAGGACAAGAGGGAGCACCTGCCATGCAAGGAATTCTGCAAACGGAAGAGGCCCTTAATTTCCTAGAACCTTTAAAAAATATCTCTGCTTTAAATAATAAAACAACTGGCTTAATTCAATTGGCATTCAGAGAAGGAAGATTTGCCCCGAGGTCTGCAGGTGCTGGAGGGGTTGGTGGCCAGGGTGGATATCCTGGATCAGTGCTAATTTACGCAAAAGACGGAGAACTAGTGACAGAAGTGCAGATTTATCGTAAAAAAGGCACCAACGGTCCACCCGGTTCAGGCGGAAAAGGAGCTGCGGCCGAAGCGAAATTTATTTTTTCCATTTCCGATTGTTACGGGCAGGCAGAAGCATGTCAAATAATAGCTTCAGGAAAAAGTGTCGAAATGATTCCGGGTTTAGAGCAGGGAGTTGCAGGTCTGAGCATTCTTGGGTTTGAGAGTGCCATTGAGCCGGCAGGACTTGCGCTGCGGAGGTATTTGTACCTTTACGTTGGGGCGATTTTGAGCAAAAAACTGGAAGCAGAAGAAGAGGCCGCCGTGGTCGACCTAGTGCAGCGTTTGCCCGACTTGATTCGGGAAAAGGGTGGGCAGATTGACCAGGGGGGACTCGAGCAACTCGAGGCTGAGTGGGCCGTGATGGAGAAAGATAAGGACGAGATGCAGAAGACGCTGGGACGCCACTTGCCCCTCATGCACCATTTACTGCTTGCCTACGCAGAACAGGCGCCGGGAGGACGACGACTTTCGGAGTTAATCAAGCAGAAAAGCCAAAAATAAAACACGCATACTTATTAATTTGATTTACCGCGCAGTATATTTCATTCGTAACTTAATTATTCAATTTTGGTTTTTATAAAGAAGAGACAAAATATATTTTATTTTTAAAGTTTTTACGATGAAATGTTGTTTTCTATTTTTATTGATTAAAAAAACTCCCGCTATTCTGTGACAAATTAAAAGTTCTCTCTCTGGTGTGAAAAAAAAAAACAATTGAGATAAAAAGAACTGTCAAAACAGAGATTTCTCTCGGCGCGCGACTCTCAATCAGATCACCGCATCAAAACGATTTCATTTCGTCTCACCCACCATAATAACCACGCTTTTTGATCGCTTCCTTTTTTCTCATCAGAAGTGTTATAATATGAAAGTGAATCGACTTGTTGCCCACGCTTTCGCTCCTCCCTCCGAACAGAAGCTTTATCGAATTAAACGCTGCGTGTAAGAACCGAATTGCCAGAATAAAAATCGATTGTCCATATTAGAATGCGTTTGATTGAGCGGATCCTTTTAAAGTCACAGCGGTAGCAGCTTGTAATGAAAATAGTAGTGCGATAAAAAAATAATACATTTCAGAGAAGCAAAGAGCGCGCGCACCGCGTGCACGCCACTCGGCGAACAGCGCAATCTTTCTGACCGGCCTCATTTACAGGACCTTCTAAAAAGGAGGCAGGTCCTTTATTTATTTCATTACAAATGATATAAAATGCTCTACACGTGAGGGAGTCACTCAATATAGGGAAATTTCAAACTAAATTGCAAATTATATGCTGCTCAATAAATTAAAAAATTATATTTTCAGACGTTTTTAATATTTTTATATTTATTGGTAAATAAACCGAGTAAAAATTTTAATTATCCTATTATTAACACCAATAATAATTTTTTTTATTATTAATAAAAAAATTATTAATAATGAAAATGAACTATGTATTTTATTAGTGAGAAAAGAATTATAAAATATCAAAAATATGTATTAATATTTTTTTAAATAACTAAAATTTAAACATAAAATAATATTGTGTGCCACATCACAACCAAAATTTGAAAGTATTTTTCAACTATTATGTTTTTAAACTAATTTGATGTGCCATTTGTACGCAGCCCATACTGCAGTTGTCTCTGGCTGGTGGGCACTCGTCGTCGGCACTGTGTTGTGGTTCTCAGTGTGCGCTCGGTCTCTGTGGCAACCAGGCGCGGCTGGCGTTGTTTGTAGCAGGTGCAGCGCAAGTGGACCCCGCGATTTTTCTCTCGTCCCACGAAACCCACGTTCAGGTGCGTGCAAACTCATTAATTTACATAAAAAATAATCTGTCAATTTGCCTCGGCTGAGATGCCCGCATGAAATTTTTTGCCCCTTTTGTTTGATACGTTTTTTGCAAAGCCGGCTGAGAACACAAATAGAGGAGAGTGGATCAATGAGAGACGCACGCGCTTCCCTTGACCATTATAACTCTTTTCTGATCGAAAACGTCGTTTTTTGCATCAGCCACACTCTCTGCGGTCTTTCCGTTTTCCTTGATATATTCGCAGCCGCCTCTCATCAGGCAAAAAATTTACAATATTATTATTATCAAGAGGGGACCTCTTAAGTTTGCGCGTGACCTTCAGCCGCGACGGACTGTGATTTTTTTGGCCGACATCGATGCACACTGGATTATTTTTATTTTTTCTCGGTATGCGATTCGCGTGCTCCGGTTTTGCAATTATGTTTTTAACGAGGGAGATGAGCCAGAGTTTTACTGTTGCGCCAGATTTGTTTGAATAATTTTGAGGACGAGTGGATTTCTTAATTTTCGTTCTCTAGGTCCGTTACCATCAGCATGATTACAGAATTTAATTCAGAAATTGCATAAGAAAGTAAGAATAATATTTCTTTAATTAGGTTTTGATGGGAAGAGAAGATGATTTAACTCATTGCCGTTGAAAACCAACTCATGAAAAATTATTATTTTATCTAATGAGTAAGGGCAAAAAAGGATCCATTTTGAAAAATTAATTCATGTCAAAATTAATTTTTGTCCAATGTTGAATGAAAGGAGATTTTAAATGAATTAAACAGTTAAACAGCATAATTTTTTTTATTGTGGTAGAATTTTAAATTCAAATTTTTTTTAATCAGCGCTGGTTTAGCATCCATCAGTTATATTGTTTTGTTAATATTTATTTTTTCCAAACAATTGATTTGAAAGGCAAGAAAAAAATAGCACGCAAGTGGAGCGAATCGAGTGTGATTACATTTAACTCTGTGCTTACAAGCTTGAAAAAGAAAATCAAGATTAAAGCAAATTAAGTTATCCCCTTTTGATCAAGTGCAATTCAACGCTTTTATTATTTCACGCCACACCGCGTCAATTCCTAATTGCGGCGCGAAGTAAAAACGTCCGCGTCTTCTTTCCCGATCACTCTCTCGAGCGCGGCAGATCATTTAATTTTATATTTTTCATAAAACGCGTGTGTACTTATTATTATTATTATTTCCCCGCCGAGCTGCAGTTGCATTAATGAAAATGAGTGTGGGACTTGATGGCATTTAAAAGTTGTTTGTTTGTGGAGGTTTGCTGGCTTGGCTGGCAATCGAGCGAACGAGAAAAGTGGCAGCCCTTGACTTTGAAACCAAAAGCCAGTGAGCCGTGAAAGTGCTAAGAGCAGATGACGCACCTGGCCAGCGCGCGCGTTCCTCTCTCGCAGGCACAGATTTTTCAGCCTCTCCGCATCTCTGCAAATATTCGACCGGCACTTGCACGGATTCCTCCGCTCTCTTCAAAACACACTTCGAGCCTTAAAGAAACTAAATATTTATCTTCAAACGCTCGAGAATAAAAACTAAAACGCAGTTAGGCCCATTAGAAAAATATCAGGCTCATTAAGATAGAGAAAATTCCTCTTAATTATATTGGCATATAAAAGTGTAGCTGCGGTTGACAAGAAACTGATGAAAAGTCATTAAGAAATTCTTAGCTATCTTTTAATCAGCGCGCGGTGTCCCAAAAAGCGCGAAATGTGGAACACTTTTTTAGAGGAATTCAATTTTAGGATACCGTTTCCAGCTAAAATTTAATCCCACAAAAATATATAAATAAATAAATATTTAATAAAGTTTTTTTGTTATAAAATTATTTTACGGACACTATTTATCGTTAAATTTATTCCTGATAAAAAAGCTGATTTAATTGCTACTATTATATCGTAATCAATTTCGTAGCCACCTCATTTTAATCTAATCTTTTGATATAGACTTGAAAAATAAATTATGACTTATTCAAATAAAAGCTACATTATAGTTTCAATGAAAAATGAATAACCAGCAATATGCTTGAAATAATAGTGGAATATTATAAATTATGTATCAGTTATAGAAAAAGGAGCCTTTTATTTAAGCGCTTAATTCATTGTTTTTATGCATGGCGAGTGTTAATTTCATACCAATTATCTCATTCTCTTCTGTTTTTTTTTTCTGAAAAAATTTTAGTTAAAATTTTTTCTAACTAATATAAATTATTTATTCCAGTGAATTTTTCAAATTATTATATATTTAAAATTTACAATTACTTCGTGATTTTTATGATATAATACATTGAAACAAAATTGAAATTATTTTTAATATTTTTATTTTAATTGTTGTAACTAAGAATTAAATAAAATAAAATATATTTGCTACAGACTTTTAATTGTAAAGGCTTTGATTAAAAACCAAACTATTTTTTAAGGTTCCTCACAATCTTCTAAAGAAAATGCCCTAAAATTAAGACTTATACTTTTCCGAAAATATATTGAAACAAAAATTATACAATGATGGCAATGGCCTAGAGCTCCATTTAGAGGCTGCCATCTAAAGCACAAAGCAATCAGAAGCCGCAGTGTGTCTAGTGAGGTGTGAAAAGAAATAATTATTATCCATCCCGCGTCTCTCCCCAAAAAGACAAAACGGACACGTTTTCGTGTTGTTTATATTATGTTTTGAACGAGGTTGCTCTGTTCCGCCAGAGCGAACCAAAAGTTACACAGAGAGCGCGCGGCTGGGCCCATTTCGTGATTCGGAAGCCGTACGAATCGGGCGCAGACACGCAAATGCAACCAGAAAGCGGCACACACGGAGAGAGAAAAAATCGATCGCAAATTATTATTACTGTAAAAATAATTCACTCCTCTTCAGATGATGGTCCAAACAAATGAGACGCACTTGGTTTTACGACGTCTGAACAAAACGAATGAGCAGCTCGCTTAATGGTCTGGAAAGACGTGGTTTTTAATTTTATAATCGCATAATTTTCAAGTAGTTTTTCAACCAGCAGCTTCTCCTCCGTTTATTATTATGTTTTTTTTTTATATATTCACTTACTCTGGGTTCGTCGTCGTGATTCTTCATGCACGCCAAACTTGGAGATGTTGCGAGTTCAAAGAGGCGCTTGTTCAGATGAGACTACTTTTTTTAATTAGCAGGCGCAGCCGCCGGTTGGAATCAGCAGACCAAAAATCTACAAGCATGCTAATGTGATCCACGCGAGCATGCGAAAATGAAAGCAAATTAATTGATCGGACCGCGCTTATTACGCCTCTTTGGCTTCTCTTCGTAATTTGTGTAATTTGTGTTCACCTAGGAAATGAAGAAGGCTCTTTCAGTGATGGACGATTTTAAGCCTTGCCGAGTTTTGTCCTTAATTAATCGAAGTAACAAGGCGATACTCTAACCTAGTCAACAGACCGTGCATGAAGAACTAATGCATCTGCAAGCAAATAAAATTGTAAATTTATTTTAAAAGATTTTTGAAAAAATTATTTTTGAAATACTTTCACTAAATTGTGTTTAAGAAAATATAAATTTTTTTTAATTCTTTTACTAATAATTAATTTATTTTTCTGCAATTAATTAATTTTATTGAATAATTTTGTAATGTTAATGGATCTTGTGGCATCAATAAAGACAATATTAAATTTTAATCAACAATTAAAAAATTATATAAACTGAAAATTGAAATTTTTCATGAAAATTTATCACTGTTCAAAGGGTCATATCAAGGAATGCATAATTGGAGTGTGACTGCCACGGACATTATTAAAGAAACTTGAAACTACCGTTCTCATATTTGGAGATGCAACTTTGATTGCGACAAAAAACCAATGCTCTCCTATTAAAACCGTCAGAAAAAAATGTGTCCATCAGGACTAAAAAAGCCAGTTCGCCCTTCACGCCTGAACTGGCTCGATGTATATATTCATTCCTGCCCGGTGCGGATAGTTAGTTTTATTTTTTTTTGTCGCCGCTCGAATGTTTCCTTCTCGCGCGCTCACAGACCGCAAGAGATGAGAATTTTATATCCTAATAATTTCCAACGTGCGATGGAGGAGAGAGAGAGACATTTGTGCCGGGATTACGCCGCGAGATGAGAATCCCGAGATAATTTTCCCGCAGCTCTAGTGCTTCGATTTCATCTTTGGCCCCTACGCTGCGGTCACTTTTTGTCTACGTAACGATTTATCTGCAGCGAGGCAAAGGTCGAGCCTTACATAGCGATAGAAGAAAAGTGTAACATTAAAATAAAACGCAATATTCTGCGAATCGTGTTTAAATTGCGTTTAGCAGCTGCTTTCAAAGGCACCGCAATTTGATACTAAAACAACACTTTTTTATAATTTTATTTCTTCCTTCTTTAAAAATGCGTATGTTTTTTTTTTTTTTATCAACAAACCACAATTGCTGGAAAGGTTTTTTCTTATAAATAAAATAAAAGATTTGAACTTTTTGTCTTTTAACATTATATTGTTAAGAACCCTGAAATTCCAATTTGGAAAAAAATTATTTGATCTTTTTGTCAAGTTAAGCTAAATACTTTTAGCACTAGAAATCTAAACAAAATTTATAAGCAATTAATTGTAAGAAATAATTAACAAAATACAATTTAATTAAATTTCAGCAAATCACTAAATTATCTTGCTTGAAAATTATTGCCCAAAATAGAATTAAAATAACATGGTTTTTTATTTAATGGATTTTCTGTGTAATAATTTTATTGCAGAGGTTTTAGTTAGTTATTTTTGTTAACTATATAAATCTCTGCGGAAAAAAAGATTGCTCCATTAGTGAATTGCGCCGCATAGAGCCGCAGACAAAAAGATTTTGCGGTTGTACGAACATTTTAGGAACACAAAAAGTCTCTGTGGAAACGAAAAATCATCATGTCTCAATTACTCTGGAGAGAAAGCTGCTGCACTAATGCTCATTTTCAGAATCAATTTTTGCGGTCTCACTATGAAAAGAACGGAGAAATAAGAAAGAAATTTTTAATAAGGCGAGAACATTGCGATGCAAAAAATGGTGCAGCGCTCACGTCAGGATACATCACGAGCGATCGCGTACCAAATGAAACAAAAGCGAATTTCTGGAACACGAGAGGCGGCTCTATATATTATTTCAAATCTGTACGTGGGTGCAATCAGGTGCGAAAAGATTGTTGAACACAGCACGTGAGCAAATCGAGATCTCGTCCGTCAGCCGCAAAAACGCGAGAACTCTTTCTCAGATGCCAGGAAAAAAAATAAAATTTATATGCAGCGAAGAGGAGCGTCTCGAGTTGCAAAACCGCAGCAAGAGTGAATTTTATCTGCACATGTGCGTGTTCGGTTTTGTGCGCTTTTGATTCCCACGTGATTCGCCAACAATGGCCGTGACCCTTGACGCGGTTTTTTCTTATTCTTTGGACGTTAATTGCCTTGCGTGGGAGTGTTTATACTTTTGTTAAAAAAGTCATGCAAAAAAACATTGAATTAAGATTTGTTTTAAAAGGTTAAAAATGAAATTTTTTAATTTTTTATGGTTCTATATTGATCAATAGTTTATTTAAAAATTGTTTTAAATTTATCTCATCATATTTATGTAACGAAATATTTTTTCATTTTAAAATATTAAATGTTTTACTTTAAAATATTGTATTTAAGAAAAAATAAAAAAGTTTGAAGGCCAGAAATTATTGCAAAGTATTTTACGACAAAAACATAATAAATCATAAATTGTAGTTCATTGAAATTGAGCATGTAACAAAATTAAAAATTGTTCAATTTGCATGCCCTGTAGTGTAAAATATATTATTTATGATATCAATTTAAAAATTCAATAGCTTCAACACCATATACTTCAACCAAAAATCGTTTCTTAAAACAGTGAGAGGAGTGATTGTGACGAAAATATATTTATTTTATTCTCTATTATTGACAATTAAAATTATGAGACTAATCCATGCCAATAACTTGAAATAATTGCCTCATGAGATTTGTTTTGATTGGCATGAATCTATAATAATGTTCAATTGTCCTTTTGTTGACATGCAACAACCTGCGCGTGAATAAATCTCAATAATGAAATAAATCCTGAATAATAATCGTCCACGATCTGTTGGGAAAACATTCAATTGATTTTGAAACTGATCATGTTTGTACTAACACTTTTCTTCAAATATGGGTGTCTCTCTCGCATGTACATACGCAGGCCTTGGATCGTATCGGGCGAAGCCGCGAAGAGCCGCGGGCCACGACAGGTGCCGCTCGGTGAAAGTGAAACTTGAATGCTCCCTGTGCGGTACCATGCGTTTAGTTAAGAGTACTTGTAACTCCGAATTGCTCGATTCACACACCGGCTGTCGTCGAGAAAGTGCAAGTGGACAATCAACTCGGACGCGTTTTTCCTTTTTATTTTCTCTCTCTCGCTCTAGGTAATGCTCTTGACTCTCATTCTCAATTATCCAATTTTAGTCACGGCCTCGCTCTCCGCGCTTTAATCCTCTTAAGGACAGTCTTGCGCTTTTCATTTTCTTATTCGAGTTAATTTTGTTACTATGTTAATGCGAAACAACATTCCGCGCTGTCCTACTTTGTTTGTGCTTCATTTACATTCATGCTGAGAGATACACGCTCGCAACCGCGCGCGCTTTTCATTAATAAACAACCAGCACTTTTCTGTGCGTATAATGATTTTAATCGCCAAATTATCCTTGGAAAAACGGCGGCGAACACACCTGACTGTGCATAAATGAGATCTAGCGGCGAATTTACATTTTCGTTCCTATCATATTTTGCTGGAGAGGAGATAAATTAATGTGGCGAAGGAAATAAGCATTCTTCTATTTTCTCATCGATATATCAAAAATGCAAATTATACAGTAGGCAGAGGCATAGTGATTTAAATTCATTTTGTGTTTGTGAACAAAAATCAGATACAGATACGTGAGTAGAATAGCACCATATTTCTTATGTATAGTATTAGGATTAGGATAGTCGATGATTGATTATTCCAATCTACAGGGCAAACAGGTGTGGTTTTTTTTTGTTTAATAAATTTAGAGAAGCTTAGATAAAATGTATCGGTTAAAAAAAAATTTTTTTGTGAAAATAAAAAAGATTTTAATGCTTAGAAACGGATTAAAAAACTGTATCATCATGCGTTCATTTAAAATAATATTGATTTTGATTAATTTAAAAATGAGCATTGGATATTTGATTATTAATTATTATACAATTCTGTCAACATCACTGGAAATTCAGCAGATCATGAGAGAATTTTAGCATTCTTTTTATACAATAATTATTATCTCAAGATCTTATCTGATTGAATTCCAAAATTTCTCACCCAATATTCTTCATCAGGATCAACCCGACTCCCAGCAATTAAGTTGAGGAAAACCCCTGGACAAGAAAAAATCACAGCAACAACATCAAATAATTAAATATTTTCTTTTTTATTTAATTATACTCATCAGTTATCACTTTTACTAAGTAAGCACTCTAAACTTCAATCCGCTGCGTTTATATAATCAATTATTTAACAGACAAAATAAATGAAATTGTGAACTGATCAAAAATTTGATCACAGGCTGTTATCAAAAATAATTTCAATCAAGCAGACTTACCAAATTCTAAATTTCTTATCGATTTTTACTTTTTATATATTTATTATTTCTTAAAAATTAAATATTTTATAGTCCTGTACAATAAGATCTTCTTTTAAGCTCTTTCCAAGAATGTAGTCATCAATTGCTTAAGTGATGCTGGAAATTTTACCATTACAAAGAACTAAATCCGTTTTGACCACCATGCACGCCACTATGTTTGTGCAGGTGTGCCGCGAATCCGTGATGGTTTCTTCTTTGAAATCAGCGCGCAGAAAATCAATTCTCGTCTCTCCTTGTCTAGCCCGCCTGACGGTCGCGGATGTGCTACTGCACTCAGACAAAAAGCGGCAGTATTTATTTTATTTGCCGCTGCGACATTGTGTTGTTTGTCATCAGGCATAAGCGCCTCTTTTTGTCATTACGATTCGCGTCTCGTGCTCGCCTGCGTCGCGGCTCAATTTTCCGCTCTGCATCTCGACAATCGACGTTCACGCTTTCCTGGCCGGTCTCCTGCTAACCCAAATCCCCACGAGATTTATAATGTTCCCGGCAAGGAAAGAAATGAAAAGAAGGTGAGTGAGAAAGACACAAGCGAATCGATTTGAATGCCGCAAAGAATTGCAGTTCTTTTGATTCTTATCCGTTTTGTTCCTCCCGCCTCGGGTTGGACGAACTCCAGATTTGCACGGCGTCTTCCTCATTGCTTTGTCTCTCTCATTCTTGCGGAGAAATGCTCTGAATTTGAATCATTTCAGACAGTTATGTGTTGAGCAAGGCCTTGCCTCTCTCGCAATTTGTGGCCATAGACACACCGAAGTGAAATTTACAATACTTTGCGCTCATTGCAGTTTATTGGGTTGAAATATTTTATTGCACGCAATAATGCTAACAATTTATTTCACTTTCGCTTTATTGACGTTTCATAATTCTTGATTTCAGGAAGATGCGGCTTTTCAGGAGGCGTCTCTCGGACGTCTCGCTGTCCAGCCCGGACAAAGAAGACGACTGGCAAATGGTGAAGGCGGTGCCAGCACTCGTCCTTGAAGACGCCCCGCCGAAAAAAGGTGATTATCAGACCATCAAGTAACTGCACTTTTGACCAAGTCGCGCGCTTGTTATGAAAAGTAAAACACAGAATGCTGCCAAGTGCGACCTAAATAATAATCTTAATTGGTGCTTTTTGTTCACTGTTTTATATGGAACAATTTATATTATAACTGTATTGCATCAATTTGTTTTCAATAATTATAGCCTAATTCTAATTTATTTTAAATGCAATCAAACTAACGTTATTTTTATTATCATTTTTAATGAAGAATTTAATGTATTAATTATAATTGAATTATTTTAATATTGAATACAATGAACTCCTCTAAACAAAATTTTTTAAACTTCTATTTAAAATAAAATTATTTTCCACCCTGATTTTTAACTAATTACCCAATATTATTTAAGTTTTTAATTATTTTTTGAAAATTATATCCGTTTTGTATATAAATACCAATGATTATATTTTCATTTTTATTACATTAATTCATCTTTTGTGAATTCCTTAGGCACCGTTTTGAGCACATGGGGTCGGCGAGTCGGTCGCAAATTAGAGCTGTTGAGGCGGCCAGAGACCCCCTCTAGCCGCCCTTCAACCTCCCCAGCGACCCCGCTCTTCCGTAGTTGCTCGACCTCGCAGCTGAGCTACGTGAGGGGCGACGACCCCGCCGAAGACCTAATCCAAACGCCTCCTCCGGTGCCTTCCAAAACCCTGAGCTGCGACAACTTGTCGCAAATCGGCCGCCGCTTCCCCTACGCCTTCCTGCGCTCGTCGAGACTCGCGTCCCTGCCTGAAGAACCCGGCGCAAGACAAATGCCCCGCTGTCGTCCGCACTCCATCACCTCGTTCGAGGTAATAACAGTTTTGGTTTTCAATGGGATTTTGAAGGAAGTGAAAAGGAAGCAGCGGTCAGACTTGATCAACCCGAACTAACGATTTTATTATTGCGTTGTTTTGAACGGTGAATCGGAACATCCTCTCAGATTGTTTATAACTTTTGCAATTCGCAGCAGACAGGAAGGGCTGTCGCTTTATATTCATCTTGCAGAGAATGAAAGGGAGACCTTTTGCAGCCTTGTATGGAACAAATGAAATAATCAAATTTAATAGTCATTATACACCTCGTTGCGATTCAAAAGATAATTAGGAAAGTGACATTCTGCCTTTTATAGAGAGTTTTTAAAGGTTCAATTCAACATTATTTCATTTTGGTTGGGAAGATGTTAAAATATATAATTTAATGTGATAATTTAATTATTATTATTAGTTGATTTTTTTCACAATTTAATTATCTACAATAATTTAAAAATGTTATATTTTTATTGAATACACTATAAAATTAAGTTTTGAAAAAAAAAGTTTTGAAAGATTTTGAAAAAATAAATTTAGTTATTATGTTCAGAATATTTAAATACTTTTATGGCTGATTGGTTTTCAAGAATTTTATTTACCATGCACTTGCAAAATCAAGATTTATTTGAGACTACTTTATAAGCTACATGAAACAAGCCCCCTTAAAACAATTCTTGATTGAATGATTCATAAAAGTACAAAAAATTGTTCTCCAATGAACTGATTTCCCCCTACTAGAAATATGTGTATCATTTTAAAAACGAGAATTTTGTCACACGGTGGCATTGGGAGCCTAAAGGATATAATTCGGAATTGGTTGGCAGGTGCCCTCGACCGAGTCCGGCTACGACAGTGACAGGCCAAGCAGTGAAGAAAGCAACTCGGGCGGTCGGTGCCGCACGTCCCTCTGTGAACCGCGCATCATGGAGCGCTGCGCCGCTCCACGCTTCGGCAGTTACAGGATGCCTTGCCGACCGCCGAACGGCCCCGAACTCAAGATGATTCGTCTTATAAGGGCCGCCGGCCTGCAGGCCCTTGGAATCCACGCGGCGCCGCGGCGCCAATTGGCGCTCTCCTCAGCCCTGTCGGTCGGCGACGGCTACTTTGTGACCAAACTAGAGGCAGGAGGGGTGGCTCAAAGGGACGGCCGCCTTCGACCTGGCGACGAGATCGTCAGCGTAAACGGAGCGCTGCTGCGCGGGTTGCCTGTTCGTGAGGCGCAGAGAATTCTCAGCGCCGCTGGATCTGCACAGGTCTTTATTTATTTTTTTCTTTTATTCTTTTTTTATTTTATTTAATACTATCATAATCTTTTTACCAATAAAGCTTTAGTAATTAAAAAATTAAAGTTAAAAACTTTCTATCTAAATATTATTTTTAAATCAATTTTTATTTGGAATTTGTTTAAAGTTCACATTAATTTGTTGATGAGTTATAATTTTTTAAATCAAATTTAAAATATTTTTGAATAAAAAAAAATAGATCAAAAGAATTTTGATTTATGAACATCATAGTCTTTTCATTTGATAATTTTAATTACATACAATTTGTGTTTTTAAATAATTAAACTATGCGGTTGCTCAATATTTTAAGTTAAAATTTAATAAAAATAGTCCTATCATGCTTGCATCGTTTCTGGCCGTCAGATGCAAAGTCATGCTATCTTATTATATTACTTTAAATATATATTTGGAGTTTTAATCTTTCAGAATTGAATCTAAAATCTGATCTTGTATTTATCAGGATAAAAATTTTCAGGCTTTCAACACATGTTTCATTTTTTCTCCTTCTCAATTCAGGTGGAGCTGGTGATCTCCAGGTCGCCCCCGACGTCCCATCCAGCCACCTTCACCCCCCGTTTGACCCCTGCAACGAGTCTGACCTCCATTCACTCCCAAATCGCCACCTCCTTGCTCGAAGTAAAATTCCAAAAAGGTCCTGGACACAAAAGTTTGGGCTTCAGCATTGTTGGAGGCCGAGATTCGCCCAAGGGGGACATTGGGGTCTTCGTAAAAAGTGTCTTCCCCGACGGACAGGCCGCCGAGAATCACAAACTGCTGGAAGGTACGTTTTTCTGTCCTTTTTACAGTGGGTTGAATTGCTCGGAAAAATTTGAGAGTTTTAACTCTTAAGCGCCTTGGTCATAAAAACGAATGCTAATTGCCGGGGCCGCGAAAGAGAAGAGAGTAATTACAGTCGTCAAGCAGAAATACACACACGACTTTTGAAGCAATTTGCTGCGAAAAAATTGGCATTTACGGCCCGTGATTAGCCAAAGGCAACGACCCTTCTCCCTCTTCTGCTTTAAAATCACGGCCACTTTAAAAAAATAAGATCATTGTTATTTTCACCTTTTCGTTTTCCTGTCCTGTATTTCTTTTTTGTTTCTCTCAACATAATCGAGCGGAAGTTGACGAAGATTTAATTCGCGCTAATAAACCTGCCGCACGCAGGCACGCGTGAGAATTATTTACTCTCAGTTGCGATAGTCCCTGCAGATAAACTCTTAGTTTGTTTTGGTTATCTGCCGGTGATTCACCTGTGGAGGGAGCGCGTAACGCACCATATACTATTAGCAGAAAGTAAAAGCGGATTTTATTCTTCAAAGTCGTGGCCACACACGTGCATGCAGGTGCCAAAATCAAACATTTTGATAGAGAGCGCGCCGGTCCGAGCACTAGAAGGGCCTAACCTTGAAGTGGGATAGCAACGCGGATAGGCAGGGTTTGCGCTGAAAGGAGCCTTTTTGCACACCTACTCAAAGACTCATGCTTTGCAAAGAAAAATTGACTAACCACCCACTTTGGTGATTTTCAGCATTGATTTAACAATATTCAATCTCTCCGTCCAGATCTATTCCTAGTAATAATTAATTAATAATAAAAATTAATAACTGCATAATTATTTAAATTTATTGCACACTTCAATTATTATTTTTCGTAATTTTATTTTTCAATATGAATATTTGTTAGTTTATTATATAAAAACTCCATTCACATCACCTTGTGAAATCTAGTTCACCAAATATTATGTTTCTTCATAACCATATTAAATTTCCGTCTTATGATTAAAAGGAAATATAATTAAATTGAACTTTATTCATCAAGGCTATGTTTGTTGCTGTGAGTAGAATAAATTAAGCTTTTTTTACTGATTTGATTTTTTTTCTGATTTTAAAGTGGAATAAACATAATTGCAAAAGCAATACAATATATAAATATTTATACATAAGCCCAAATTTACTTACAAATTTTGGAATTGTAAAATCCCAAACGAAGAAAATTGAATATTTTCAAGAGTTTGGAATTGTTTGATTGTTAGTCATTTCAAACAGAGATCCTGATTGAGAGGTGAAATGATTAATTAATTTTTCATCACATGTTACTCTGCTTTTGATTCCTGAAATTTATTTTGCTGACGAGACGAAAATAGTTTCATTTATATTTTTCGCATCTTTATGTTTAGGTTTTTTTTATAATATTTAACAAAATAATCATGTACCAATATATAATTCCCAATTCGCTCAGACTTAAAAAATTTCAAGAAGAAGTTTCCAGGAAACAAAGAGCAGTAGTTGAGGGAGTTCTATGACCTGCAGTCTTTCGCAATGAATTTTGCATAACGCTATTTTCTTTGTTTGCTCAGTCAGTGTAAGAAAGGCCTGAAAGAATAACTTTCCTTCGCGCGAGGCCTTAAAAGTCTAGACCCATAGAATGGAGTAATTCAATATGCTGTGTATTCTCTCATCGTCGCCTCTTTCTATGTGTCTGATGCCCGGCGTTGTTCTCCAAAATGATTTAGCCATCGATTCCCCGGGGGGAGAAACAAACCCTAGGACGTCATGCATGTCGCTCGAGGGGTGATTTCCAACCCCATTAACGCGATTAGGGCGTGTCCACACCTATCCATTACACAAATGAAGTTTCAACATAGACCGATCGATTCTCTGCAACTTTCATAAATGCAATCGCAATTTTTGATTTGTTTCAGGCGATGAGATTTTGGCCGTCAATGGTGAAGTGGTGAGTGGCCTTTCTCACGCAGAGGCGATCGGTCTCTTCAAAAGGGTAAAAAGCGGCGAGATTTGCTTACGAATTGCTCGAAGAGGACCAAGGACTCCAAGGTAAAATTCTGCAAGTTTATATTGGATCAAAATTAATTTTTTTAAATTCAAATTTCAGTTAAATTTGAGTCTTCAAAATAAGGTCAAACACTGCAGATTGAGAAGTTTCTAGTCACCACCGGCCAGACAAGAAGGCCAGCAGCTCAACAACTAAAGAAAATTATAGATATTTGTAGAGTTTTTATAAATAATTATTAATTATTGGCCCTTAGTGCAATATTGCTTTTTAAAGTTAAGGTTGTAATTCTTCCGTTTTATGTTGAAAAAGAAAAAATATTAAAAATCTACTGCCAACTTTATTCAGGATTTTGTCTCATTTGAAAGAATTTTTTTTATCTTTTTCTTAAATAATGTTTCTTTAATTTTGCTGTAAAAATGAATATATTGGTTAAAAAAATGTTTCTATCCCACAGAAAAAAAATCTATCCCGTTTGGGTTGCATTGGCCCTCAGCTCCGGCAATTTCTCTAAAATCCAGTTGACATATTGCGCAACGTCAGTGAACAGAGCGTACGCCGAGTGGTCACAAACATCCTTTGATCCGTTGTTCAGTCTTTTACTCTTGGCGGAACTGACGATGCCTCTCAGGAAAAATCTGCGAAGGTTTTGGTTAAAGGTGATCAAGCCGCCTCCACTATCTCCGTTGCAAACGCTTGTTCCTGTACACAAAAGACAAAATTAATTTCATCTTTAAAAAAAAAATAATTATAAGAAAAATACCATTTATAATTCCAGCACAAAAATTGCTACAATAAGACAGTTTATCTTGATAGAACATCCTATTGGCTTTAAAACACTCTTTGTGGTGAATAATTGGGATTTCCGCCATGATCAAAGCTGCCGACGTTTCAAATGACTCCGTGTATCCCCAGCCAACAACCTTTTGACTCAAAATTAATTATTCTTGCATGAAACAAAACGTGGAAATTCACAGTTCCGAGTGACCCAGCAACAGTACTGATGGATGAATTCCGATTCCACAAGCAAGCGGGCTTCACGTGTTCTGTGGATGTGTCAAAGGGCGATTCAACGACAATCAAAGCAATGTCATTGAGCTCCTTTTGTTCCGCATTGTACTTTTCGTGGATAAAAATTTGCTTCACCTGTATGAAAAAAATTGGCAATATTTTTTACACATCAATTATCAGTATAATACCTTTCTTATTTGTCTCGAACTTTCATTTGACGTAGGAAGTGACCTATTAAAAACTCCCATTGCAACCTCAACTTCAAACTTGTCAAGAGTAGTGACTGTTATTCCTTTTGCTACCAGGCAGTGTGCCGCTGAAATTTTAATAATTTTGAATTACTAAAATTGCAAAGTTGATTCTTCATGTATAGTTATTATTATCAAATATTGTATAAATTTCAGCGCTCTATTTTATAGGACAAAATCCTGAAAAATATAAATTAGGAACTTCAATATTTTACATTTTGTTTTCTTTTTATAAAAAAACATAGAATGAGTCTTATTAACCTCATTGTCTTTTTAAGGTTAAGGAAACCAACTTTTTTAGAGAGCAATTTCATTTTTTTTTAAACATTTTTGGCCGATTGGCAAACTTCGAAAAAGTAAAAAAATTATTACATACCTGTGACGATTGCTCTATCGGAAATCAATGTTCCGCCGCAAAGATCCTGTTGCTGAAAATTTTGATGGTCATAGTAATTGGTACCCACGAAAGCATGCCAAGGGTGCGAGCTAATTCTGTACACAGGATCTCCACTGACAATCAGTTGAGTGGTGATAACAGGTTTTCTACCACAATGTGGGAAACTTAAGTTCTCATCTCCATGGAATTCTTTAAAATTAAATAGTTTAGCACAACTAGTAGAATAATAAGTAAAAATATGTTTTCTACTTGGAGGTGGCAGTGGTTCAGGCTCTGGATCCAAGGAGTACAAATCAGAAACCACGCTTACGATGTATGCGGTCTCATCTGCAAGATTGATGGCGACTGGAGAATGATGGTGAGAATTGAAAACGTCCAGAAATTGCCCTCGTAAATAAAACCGAGAATTAACTTTCATGTAGAGCAATTCGTCTGTTGAAAATAGCGGCATTCGATCTAAATTAAAATTAATTCATTTGTTATTTAAGCATATTTTTTACTGTAGCAAAAAATAAATTACCAGCAGGAGTGACACAAATAATGTTGGTAGAGTTGAAAGTATCTCGATGCTCCTTAGTTTTAATTAGTGCATTGCAGTGTGAAATATTTTGGGGGTAGAATTTTGCAGCCACTACTTCGTCGTCCTATTATTATAAATTATCATTTTTAAAAGTGACCGTTTTAAAAGTATTTAAATATATATTTGCACTATGCTGATCAGCATTTTTATCTTAAAAACTTTTCTATGCTACATGGAAAAATAAAATAAAAATAAAATACTATTCCTTTCTAGTTCAATACCTCTGTATCAGAATTCAGATATGAGACGTAGAAGGCCTCTCTAGGCTCTTCCTCAAAATTGTATAGACACACTGGCTTGATTTTGTCTTCAAAACTGTTCAAATCAGCAGGAAACGTAATAACTGAATAATTATCTTGAGCGAAAATGTGGCTAACCTGTTAAAAAAAATTTTTAGTATCTTTAATAAAATCAAATAACAAAAAATCCTTACGTTGACGTAGACACTTGGTGCGTTTCTATAATCTGTTTTTATGCCTGCTAGATAAACGGTGACGCCAGATGAATATTTGCACGAAGTAGTGCCTAAAAATAATGAATAAATAAATATTGACTTTGTATTACCTTTATTCTCATACCATGCAGAACAGCTCTTTGTGAAACAACCACGCCGGGTGCTATACAAAGGTCCTCTTTAAAGAAGACCACGACATCCCACGGAAAGCTGGATACAAATTGCAATTTGTTCTCCACAACCCCACAATTTTCAGTACTTGTATTTTCAGTTGTTCCGAAGTAAACTGCAATTTTCCATTGATATATTATTTAAAATGAAACAAAAAAAATTACTTACGTGGGCCAGATGGAACTGATCTATTTGTGCAATCGGAATGGGCACGATCACAGAAAATCAAAACCACAAAAATGTAAAAAGCCTATTGACAGAAAAACCAGTGTAAAATTAGAAAATGGAGAGTTCTTTCAAAAAATCTTACTCTTCTGACTGCCATAGCCCATAATAATTACACTGTGCGAGGACGAGTTGATTCTCCTAGCGAGCAGGTGCGTCGACTGCAACCTTTGATATTTCTTGAAGGTCCTTTTCCCCCTCGTATTTAAAACGAGACATCTGGTAGAAAACGTTTCAGTTGCTATCCTTATTTTTGACACGCAAAGATTTTCTGTTTAGTGTTTTAAAAGCCCTTTTTTGACATTTTTCCAAAATTAAATCTTTCATAATTATTTTTAAGATTACTAAATCAATCCCTGTATAAATTTGATTTGCAGGTGTTTTTTTAATTAATTAATAATATTATTAACATGGTAGTAAAATAAGGGAAAATCATAATATTTTATTAGGCATAGCAAAATATTTTATTAATGTTTTTTTTAAATCACTGTTTTAATCACATTCAAATTTCCATTGCTGCAGCGAATCCCTTGAGCCCCTTTTAATATCCACACAATTATTTGATCCCGCGCACCTCCTTGTAGTTCCTGTCAAGTAGAGACCATCTAAAAAAATACTTGATTAATTTAATAAAAAAGCAACGTCCTTCTTAAAATTTACCGGCGTAGTAAAGTTTTATGAATTCTTCACCAACTCCTTCGATCTTCCACTTTTCGTCGCTGTGGCCTGACCAGCCTTTCCAGCCGTCCCGAGTGCCATAAGCTGTCGGCAACCCCAAACCGTGGTGCAGATACGAATTCATTTGAAACCTATTTTGCAGGAGTAATTGTGCATCCTCGTAATCGATTTTAATCGTCCACTTGATGTTGCTTCTCTGCTGCTCGTTTTCACCAGCAGTAAAAATGAGATTAAAATTTTCAGTGCGCGCATTTTGTTCGGAGCAAATTAAATTCTCGCCAGTGGACTTATTCTTGATTTTGCAGCTCTCGGTTTTGTTCCACAAAATTTTTTCGATCCAAATGGGAGCCAGCAACTTGGCCGTTTCACATTTTCTCTGGAATATGTGGCCCTCTTGGGAATACTGAGGGTGCGTCATTACAGTTTTCAAGTGGTGGAAGACGCGAAACGCGTCAAAACTGTTTACTTCGTCAAACATCCGTAACTGCCGAATTAAACTGTGCAGAAAAATGTGAGAGTATTCAAAGGAATTCAATTTTTTATAAAAACTGATTAAGCTTCGGAGCTTTTCTGGTTTGCCTTGGTACTGGTTTTCAATCAAATCCGGCAGCATCCACTTCATGGAAAGCGGGTGGCTGTAAATTTTTCCGATCAATGGGCGCCACGATTTTTGGTCATCGAACATTTTATAAAATAAGTCTAAATGAACTTCTTTGTAATCTTCGAGACCATTCAAGACATTTACACATTTGCGTTTAAATAAAATGTCTTCCGTTTTAAAGTTGGGCTCCTCGTCAATAGTTTTTCTCGTGAAGAGGAACACCTGAAACGCTTCAATAGACGAGGAGTCGTGCAGCTGCTGAATTTTTTCGTAAATTGCTTCCATCACAATACATTGATTGCCGATACTGGATAATTTTGACGCTGCTTGGATCATGAAGTCAATCGAAGACTCAAAATAGCTTTCCAGTTTTTTGGTCGTTAATTCAGGCAAAAGTTTTTGCAATTTTTCAGGGGCAAAGTAATCTTCAGCATTTTTTAAAGAATCGTAACTTTGATTTTCCAAATCGTTCAAAAGTTTCAAGACCAATTTATTCTTATGCTCGTAGACTTCTCTTATAAGAAAGGATAATCGTCTTCTGAAATCTACACTTTGCTCCCCGTAGTTTTTTTCATCCATCACAGACTCGATCACATAGTACAGGTGTAAAGTCTCTAAATCTTCCTGTTTTTTCTGATCATTTATTGCCCAAAATATACTCTGTGCCACTGCATACGAAATTTTGCTTGCTTTTAAATGGCTGGCGAAAAGTAGTGATTTTTTTATGCTGTCTTTTATGAAGAAGTTCATTTTCATCGCGACATTTTCCATCTCTTCTAAAGTGAGTCTTTCCGTCGAGCGGGTCAACAAAGCGGCAGCTTCCTTGTAATTTTCTTCGCGAATCTTAGACTTGACCAGTGGTAAAACGTCGTCAATATTCTGATTCGCGAGCGTCTCCTCATAAAGTCTTTTGTAAAGATTGTCAATGGACGGTTTCAGTTTCTTCAGAGCCGTTCTCGAAGTCCATTCGGAACTTTTGATCATTTCATTCAGACTCCTTCGCACAAGCTCAAATTTTGAGTCCACGCAAGCCACTCCAGTTTCATTTTCGCACTTGTTATTATCATTCCGGTCCAATTCTCTGAGCGATGTGAGAAGGTTGTAGAATTTTCGCCAACAAACTTTTTCCGGCTCAAAAGCAGTGCTCTGCGGTTTTTGCTCCACGTTTTTCCCACCTAATCGTTCATTAGTTTCAAATGACCTGATCGTTGCGTTTAGCAGAGCAATGTGTTTTTGATTGAGGTTGCACAAATTCGGATCTGGATCGCACGATATGGTGTTCAAAACCAGCAAAGACGCAGTTACCAAAAGTCCTTTAGTTGACAGCAACATGATATAGATTCACGACCTATGGTAAAATAAGAATTAGAAACTAATGCACAATTTTGTCAATTTTTCTTAACTGCTTTATTATTAAACTATTGCAAAGATAAATAAAATGTATATTTTATTTTTAATATTATAAATTATTGTCTATTTATTATTTTGAAAATTTTTAATAGGTTTTAAATTAATAAAATAAATATTACCGTTTATTTAAAATTAATTAAAAATTTATAAACATAATAATTGCATTTGGTAGATTTGAAATTTTAAATACAATTAAAGTAAACAGGTCAAAAATAAAAAATGTTAATAAAACAAGGTTAAATTATTAATTTCTTATTTTCATTATTTTATTTAATAAAAATTATATAATTATATTGTTTTTAATTTATAATACCACTTATTACAGTGCCAAAAATAAAATCTGATTTACTTTTGAGCAGTCACGTATTAATTATAGCAATATCAGGCTCTAAAATTTAATTTAATGAAAAAAAATTATTAAAAAAATATTATGGACAGCATAATACCTTAATTTGCAGAGGTATCCTAATAATTTTCAATCGTGGTTCAAGACGAATATTTGGTGTCGACTTAACTTGGCTGGTGTTTTCCTCTCCAAGAGAGCTATTATGACTATACTCGAGCCTTCTAATTTAATTGACATGAAACCGGTTTGTCGGGGTCACCTCACTTTCAGAGCTACGGTCAAAACGCGCGAGATGGCCCCAGGTTCTTGAACATTCTAATTTTAATTATTGTGTACCTGTCTGTACCTTACTTTCAGCATTTTAGCCTTATTAGTAATTATACCTAAACAAATTTGTCCAAGTTTTATGTATATTTTAGCTCAAATATTGCGAAAAGGAAAATTTGAAGGATTTAATTTTATCAAGATCCCTATCGTAATAAATTAAATTGCCTTTTTGAAATCACATTAATCATTATAGATTGAGAGCAGCTACTCTGACTTGTTTGTTTGTCGCTTTAATTAATCACTCGACACTCAAGAGTCTTTGTTCTGCAGCGCTGTGCAGCGCTTATCAAAATTAAAGTGCAGAGCAGCTTTGATAATAAAACAACTCACCGCAAAGGATTATTAGCAGTTTCCTTAATCATGGCACGGACGCACATACTTGTGCTTGCCGTGGCGTTTACGCTCGCAGGTATTATTAACTACTTCTTTTACATTAGTATTATTATAACGGATGCATTGTATCAAATGTGGAAATATTTGCAGCTCTTGTCGGTGCGGGGAAAGTTGAAAAAACGATAGGAAAACTTAATTTTTCCAAAGATGTGGATGGGAAAATTAAATTGACTGTTAATAGGAAGGGTAAATTATTTTAAATATTAAAATGAAATTTACTATAATGTGATGTACACTTTTGAAATTGCAAGTCGGAGACGTTTCGTTTGACTTGGGTCAGAATTTCAATTCTGGTGGCACCTGTCATGGATGAAGGGGCTGTTTCGAGGGACATCTACCTTCCAGACGGTATTTGGCGCGACATGAATACACAGCAAGTGTACGTTGGCCCAAATTGGCTCCGAAACTATCCTGCTCCTTTAGACACCCTGCCCTATTTTGAGATCGCTGTTATGAACGGCGCGATCAATGTTGCCACAAACATGGCACTCACGACTTTGCTTTTTGTAGCAATTTTTCTTTTGAATTAAAGAAATTAACATAGGCAAAAGTTTTTTTTACTTTGTGCTTGTATTATTGTATTTTTAATAAACAATAAAAATTTCATATACAAACAGACAATGAAGTTTGACATTAAAGAGCTCAATATAATCATCGATTATACAATAGACTTGTTGACACATTAAATAATCAACCTTTTGTTTCCTTTTAAAACGACGTCTTTTTATGTTAATAATTTCGTTTATAACATTGTTTATAAATACTTTGTCTGACTGTCAATTCAATAATTAATTACATGTGACGATGAATTTGAGTGGAGGGATCATTCATTTAGTCAACAGGCGAATTTAATACACATTCAAAGTTAAAATGCAACAACAATTAAGCACGTCGCTTTTTAAAAATCACAAATTGATGTGGTACACAGAAAAAGCCACTTATAGGTTTGGTTTTAAAAGTACGCAGTCAAAAAATGCCACCAATTGTAAATTTCAAATATTTTGAACAGCTCACATTTTTTCTTACATGCGATGTTAAGTAGCTCGATTTCCATAATAAATTATTATTTTTTAAGGAAAGACACTCAATTAGCACAAATTTATTTTTCCCCGACTTTTCATTTAGCATAAAAATGCTCTTCAAAAAAATTTTAACGCAAAATGGGATCTTCCATACACGCTAGCTCAAAAACTTTGTCTCACTTTTAATTTGTGGAATTTGACATTAATTTCTTCTGTGTCCTAATTTTTTGTCAAATTCTTTTTATAACTCTTCATGACGAGATTAAAATGGGAGTGTACAATCACAAAATACAAGAATCGATCAACACACACTTGATGCAGATGAGAGAAGAGAGATTATTTTGTCGCTTACTATTTTGTTCCATTACATGATGAGACGCGGAAGAAGAGTTTTGTTAGAATACACGAGTTGTCTCTCTGGAGGATTAATGGCTATAGATCAGGAACACACATGGAATTTTATACAAGTCATTTCAAGAGAGGATATTTGATTTTCACAGTAAATTTTAGTAAGAAAAAGTCCGCAGCTATATTATGTAGGATTGATCACCGCAAATGTCCAAGCACAATTATTATACGAGAGACATAATGGAATGATTTGGTTCGATATATTGTTCTCTAATGAATGAATTGAATTTTCGCATGAGGGTTTTTGATCGACTTTTTGTACCAAGAAGCATCTGCAAATTCAGCGAAATTTTTGTCATTACATTTTAATATATTTCACGGGAATAAACGTTGTCCAGCCCTATTTATAAAAATCACATATGGAAACGAAGAGAGATTTAATTAAAAATACTTCTTTGTCTTTGGTGGTTTTCTCTTGAATCACAATTATATTCGCAATTGTTTGTGTTCAGCAGCAGATATAAGCAAGAGGCCTGCGGTATTTCCAACGTCAAGAGCATTTTTCCAGCGCCTTAGGACGCCTTGTGCTTCTTGCGCGGGTCGCGTCTCCGTTCTGTCGGATCATTGATCGAATACGGCTTGAGTTCCCGGCAAGCCAACTGAAATAAGTGCACTGATGAGTACAACTTTATTTTCCCTCACTCAATGGATGCAGGCTTGGAAGCAAAATTTAAAATAAAAAATAAAAAAAATAGGAAGAAAAACAGCATATGGGTTTGAAGAAAAGCCAGAAAGTACCGCACCGCCTAAAGCGAAAAATAAAAGTTGAACAAAATACTTATGCTTTGGTTTCTCGCCACAAACACCTAATTCTTGAAACAAAATCTACAGATTGAAAAAAAATCAAAATATTTTTTCTCTATATTAAAGTAGCATTAATAATTTGAGTTGATGAAAGGTACTCACAAGAGATTCGTCATCTGGCACCCTGGAGAGAAAGTCAAGAACCTCATTGTTGGGGATGGTATGCGGTCTGACGAGTTTGCGTGCGAATTTATTGACACCCCAGCCCATGATGAGATAGCGCAGGGGCACCAAATACAAAACCAGCACGGCCGTGCTGATCATGATAATCGCCAGCCACGACAAATATGGCACAGTAAAGTTGAACGTGCTGAAATAATTTATATTATAATTATATTATTTAATTTATTGTTTATAAATTCATAATAATCTAAATAATTAATGTGGGCAGTAGTTGCCCAATATGGTATATCAATATAAAAGTAATCAAACTAACATTTAAAGCTCTAAACTGATTTAATTGCTATTCAATGAAAAAATTGCATAAAATTGATTAAAAGAAAATAAATTTCTGTGATATATATTATTTTCTTTTGCTGCATTTTAAATTTAATATAACACGTTTTACGTTTTTCTAAACATTTAAAAAAGGGAACAGATTTGGACATGACATTGATTAATAAAAAACAATCAAAGTACGATTTAATGAGGTGATGCCATCTCCTTCTTCTTCATGGTGTTCAGAATAGAAGATACAAGAAATGCCCAATTAAGTTAATTGCCTTTAAAATTTAAATAAAATATTTTTTGAAATATGAATAGGTAGAAATAAAAATATATACTTAGTTTCTAAAAGGTAAAACAATCAACTTATGTACTAATAATCAAGATTCTTGCACTTAGAGTGTGGTAGAATTCACTTAAGGTTATAATTTTCTTATTAATTTTTAAATTAAAATGAAAATATTTTTAATATCATTATCATACAAAAAACTAGGAACAATTGCACACATAGAATTTAAAACACACTTAATCATTTTACAATAAAAAATCACAGGGTTGCTTAACCTTGAAATGTCAAGAGAAATGTTTGTAAGGGCGGGCATTTTGCTAATTATACTGGCACATGAACAAAGCCTATTAATATAGAAAATTTAAGAGATTTAATCACTTACTTTTTTATACTCTCTCCTAAGGAAGCAATGTAGCCTATGGCGTTCTGAACAGACTGCGTCACCTCCTGAATCGCCTGCAGCCGTTCTTTCAGACTTTTCTTCTCCTCCTGAAATAAAAAAGTAATTAAATTTCAATTAAACAAATTTTCAATAATTGAACCTTATCTTTATCCTCTTCATCGTCGTCATCATCTCCAAGGGGCTCCTCCTCTTCATCACGGGGCACGCAGCCACCCGTCAATGAAGCAACCTTGAGCGTATTTTTTTAATTATAGCAAAAAATAACTAAATGCGCACTTACAATGTAGTTCTTGAGGAAGACTAGCAGCATCGCGATTGGCACCATGTAGGGCTCAAAGTAGTAGCAGATCGCTATGAAGAGGAATAGGGACAGCAAACTCCGAGGAATCGATTCCCACTCAAAGCATCCCCTGGGCAAAACAGAGAAATTGGAAAGTGTCAGTCGATGGATGAGCTCGTTGGCGTAATGCCGAAAAAATTACGAGATGTATTTGCTGAGATCGATGAACCAGACAATTATTGCCTTCAAGCGCATCACATTTCGCAAGAAGACCTGCCTCTTGAACTTGACTTCGGGCTGCATGTATTTCTCCTCTTTTGGATTCAGCGTCCGTATCACACCGCGGAGCTAAAAATATATTTATCGTTTATTTTTGGCAAAATTTGCAAACACACACACAAAATTGGTGAAAAATAAAACCTTAGGTGGCCAACGATAAAAAAATTAAAAATATATATATTTAAATAATCTTTGATTTTCGCCAAGCAATTAAAGTGTCTTTGATTATTTCAATCCGTTTTCTTCTGTATTTTGTAATTTTACCCTTATAATTTCCCTTTTTCAACCCTTCTGCATTTCTTTTCATCAATATAAATCTTTTTTTGCATGCTATCAATTCTTTACTGTATTAGCATTTTTTCAATAAAAGTTATTATTGCTTACAGGATTCCAGATAACAGTGAGTTCGAGCAGAATTTGAGGGCAGTTGCCTTTGGCACGGAGGTGCAGTTTCTTGTCTTTCAACGCATACCATTTCTTCTCCCCGTTCTGAACCCTGAGCAAAGGTATCGCCACCTTCCCCAGGAACTCGACCTTGTGGTCTCGGTCCTCATCGTACACGGTCACTTCCAAAACCGAATTAATGTCTTTCACATTGCTAAAAAATTTACACATTTTTGATTAAATTTTCTCTCTATACTTTTTTACTCACAATGTGAAAATCTTCTGCCAACACGGCGAGAGAGTTTTGTACTCGGTTTGCGTCTGAAGACGAGCGTTGACCAGCTCCAGCACGCAGAAAGGGTCGCTCTTGCCTCCGAGATCGGCCGCTGCTAGGCCCTGCGCCCTGAACACTTTCACGGTTAGGTGTCCGACGTCTTTAAGATTGTGGAACGTCCTTGACAAGGTCTGAAATCCAAAAATCAAAGTTATCAAAAAATTCCTACAAATGCGCTTAACTGCCTCATTTATTTACATTTATTTTAAAAGATAAAAATTAAGTAAATAAATAAAGTTATTTTGTATTTTTACTCAAAATCCTTAAATAGCTAATTATTAGATAAATATTTCAAATTCGATTATTATCATTTATTTGTTATTCTACTTTACAAACGATTCATTTTAATTTTTTTTTCTTAAAAGACATGAAAATAGAAAAAATTAACTCTTCAGTCTATATTTAGGAATTTCTGACTGAAAAATTTGCTGTCTTCACTTAAATTAATCTTTTTAGAGTATTTAAAATCCCAAAAATTAAATTGATTTTGCTTTCAATTTTTTTATTAATAAGACAGGTATACTAACAAAGAATGAATTGAACCTGTTGTTTATTGGATTGAACGCCAAAGGCGTGCCACAAAGAATTAATTAAAATAATAAAATAATATTTTATAAATTTGGTCCATAATATACTGTTGCACTTATTAACCCTTGAAAAGAGACAAATTTTGAAATATAGAAATTGAGAATTAGTTATTGAAATAATGGACTTTTTGGTTACAATAGTAAACTTTTTTCTAGTATCAATTATATTATAAAAATTAAAACTATTAAATAATCAATAAGCAGTGGTTTTATTTTTATCATGCAAGGACTCACATATCGCGCTTCAATGTTGATCTTTTCTCTCTGGTTCTCTTCGTAGGATGATAAGTCGGAGATGGTTTCAGAAGCGGTGGTGCCGCTGATGGTCAACAGCAAGTGGATGGAACCGGCGCCGTCCTCTAGTTCCTGCCAGAAGCGATGCGTTTTCTCTCGCTCGAACTTGGACAGGTCGATGGTGCACCTGCCAAACCCTCTGATTGAAGGGAAACGCGCGCAACAATTGCGTGCAGAAGAGAATAATAATCAAACAGATGCGCCACAAACATGAGCAAAATACGCAAACAAAAGGGGACCAATTAAATTAAATTGGAATCAATTTAATGGCGTACACGGGATTCTCATTTCATTACCACAAAAATAATGAGAGATGCAATTATGAAGCTGGTATCAGGGGTAGTGATAATTTTGTAAGTCATCCCTATTTTTATTTAAAAAAGCCGTGCAGTTTTATGAATTATTTTATAGTGAGGATGTTTTTGCCAAATAACAAGAGACTGGTAAATAAATTGACGATGTGCGTGGATTTCACGAGCGATAAGTAGTGATGAGGTGGAAATTTTGTAAAACCACAAACCTGGCGTACCGAAATAGTGATTATATCAAAATGTAAAAAGTGCTGAGAGTTATATATAAAATGCAAAATTTTTAGATTAAAAGGGGATATTTTTTATTGCCGCTGATAGTTCTTACCTGCCCATGAAGTCGTCTTTTGATCTCTGGTCTTTGTCCCAAACCGTTATCTCTAATTCTTGGCTCTGATCGTCGTAGAGGTGCAGATCGAATTGCTCTAGCCAGGTCGGCGACAGACTTTTGTAAATGACTTTGCTCTTGTATTTTTCGCTTCCTAATCTGAAATTTCATATTATTATTAAAATTGAGTGTTTTTTTTTCAAACAAAAACGTAAGATCGTTTAAATTTGTCCGGAAATGCAAATCACGCTCTTTGAACAGGTGAATTTTTTACGAGAAGAGGTGTTCTTTAAAATTTAATGGCCCGTCTGGTGCCAACCGCCGCGCTCACCACGAAATCGATGCGGATTTTGCACTTGGGTGGATAGCATGGAGAACTCACCTGAATTTGACGTAAGGGTCGCTAAGGCCGTCTATGTCCATTGGCAGCAAATTCTTCCCTTCTATCAGGACTACAGTTACAACGGAACTCCATATTTGACTCTTCAATCTTCTATTAACATCAGCTAGTTTTGTACTACGTTGGAAATACTGAAACATTTCATTCAAAATTTAAAGAGAATAAAAACTGGCAAATTTATGAATAGAAACAAATTTCTAAAGAAAAATGGGCAATTGTGAATATTTTTATGATTGAAAAAATAATTTAATAAGACAGGTGTACAGATTTTATATTGAATAGCAAAAATAAATTACGAAATTTTATGATGATGTTTTTTTTTTATTTTTTTTTAATCAAGGACAGTGGAGAGAAAATCTTGACAAAAAAGTCTTGATTCAAATAAATAAAATGAAAATCTAATCAATATTTTTTGTGTACAACCAAAAATAATTTTTTGTGGGGGTCTCTGCCCTGCCATTACATTAGTTACAACAAGGAAATACACTACTGCGCGTGCATCCTGTGTGACTTTCCTCCACTTTCCTCGTGACGTGAGTGGCGGCGACAGTTTTTATTCGCAAAGCTCAATTAACCAAAGTGCGCTATTTTCAAGGCGTCCATGTGCAGGTCGTCGCCCGTGACATTGTTTCTCGCCTAGGTGGCCAATAAGTGTCCGTCGCAAACTAATATCAAGCAAGCAAACAAACAAAAGTGTACGGAAAAAAATCCACCCGAGAAAATGGAAAAATGCTCTGTCAGTCACCTCGTTGAGCAAGAATATACTCTTGAATCGCAAAATCAATTCTCCTCCTACTCGATGATGCAAATTACACGCGGTTTGCGTCTTAAGCTATTGTTTCGCAGCGTGGGCGAGATTGCAAAGCGAGATTACTGCCTATTCAGTCAATTCAGCGTGCTGAAGCTCCCATTTCCCATTTAACTATAAATAGCACAGTCGTGGGTTTTCCTTAGTTAATTATGATTAGTTAATTAGTTACCGGAGAGCAACAAAAATAGACTTTCAAATAAATCTGTTCCATAAAATTGAAATTTTCAATACAGCATGGATCGCACCAGATCGCACATAATGAACATGAGAAATTTAATTTTAAAAAATGTTTAAGGACTAAATATTAATTATAAAAAGCCGTCTATGACATGAACTTCAATCGCTACGTTAAATAACCTTTAAAAGATAAAACTGTAACCGATTTTATTGATTTTACTTTTTAATCAAATTTTAACAGTTTTATCACTTGAGCTTGGTTCATTCTAGCATTTTTAAATTTTTGATTGGCTTTTGCACAAGTAAAAATGTAATTTCAACTTAAGTCTTGCGTTTTACAGGTGGATGGACACCGTAAAATGCAAATATAAAAATAATTCACTCGCTCCAGTTCTGATTGCTATTTTTAGTTTGACGTGTCGGTGACGAATGTGAGAGCTATAAGCAAGCACATACCCATGGGACAGTTGCAAATTCATGTGTACTGTGCTGCTTATTTTTAGAGGCGCTAAAATTGTGTCAGTCGGGCTTATTTCAGTTTGCGGCGTGTGAGGAGGGCTTAAAAGACGGTTCCCTCTCCAGAGACTTTTCTTTCTGAGGTAAAAAAAGTGCACGGGTCGATACTTTTTGCCCGGTGGAATTTCCGTTCTTGCTCGCCCATTTATTTTTCCGCACAATGCCGCGCGAACAAAAATATTGTTTATTGTTTTTCGCCGCCTCTCCATTCACACTTTCTTTGCTCTCGCGCATTTCATTATTATGTGCTTTTCCTTTTTCAGGGCTGGACGAAATTTGCGCAGCACACGCATGAGGGACTTTAGAATTTTCATCAGCCCAGAAGCGCGGAACGTGTCTTTTGGGCGGCGCTTTTTGTTTGCGCGAAAACTAGACGCCTCTCTTGCCACGCTTTGTTTGCACTGAAAAGAATTGCACTTTGTTTGCTCTTGTGAATGAGTATATATTTTTTGGGGCGTGGGACAATTTTGTTGCGGGTATATCATTTTACAGGCGACAAGTAGTTTTTTTCATTGCAAGTTAAAAGTAGATTAGAAAAAAATACATAAATTAGTTAAATTAGTTATAAGTTATAATATTTTAATATCAATCTACAATGTTTAGAAATAAAAATAATGATATCATTTTCATATTTTATAAGTGATCTCGTTGTTAAATAAGATTTTACATCATCTCATGTTAAAAATGAATTTTTTTGTAAGTATAATAAGTTAATCAATTTTATTCCCAGGTTAAAGCGTTTGTTACCTATTCACAGTCAGAATAAGCATGTGTATTAAAAAAAAATAAAAATAGCAATAGTAAATACTTATAAAATATTAAAATTTTATTAATTAACGATTAATTCCTGTAAAAAAATCTGGCTCGACTGCATTGCAGTACTCTTATGACGCTTTTCTTTAGTCCATTCCTTGAGTTACATCTTTAATTTATCACGTCGCGCAAGGCTTTGATCTGCGCAAGATTGAAAAGAGTCTCTTCTTCGCCTCCAGCAACCAAGACAAATTGGTATTGACCCAAGAAACAAGACCCAACGATAAAAGGGAGTTTTCCTTTCAGTTGACACTTATTAACCTATTCACTTGTTTTTTTTCCGCAGTGTCACGTCTTATGCAATGTTCATTTACAACTCATACAATTACCACACAAAGGATTTAGCGAAAAATTTTATGTGTGGGGTGTCCTTCGTGACAACGCTCTTTTTTTGAACAAAATTAAATTCTTCATCGTCTCTCGGTCTCGTAAACTTTATGACCTGGGCGTGTATAAAACGTGAAATTTTATTGCACACCGTTTTAATAACACTCATTCGCGCCCAAGGAGATTCAATTTGGAGAATCGCTCTCTCGTCGTCGCCGGGATTTGATGAAAAGAGCAATTTGCATTTTGCACACATATACAGTATGTGTATTCGCCAATCTAATTTATTAAGCCGAGCGGCCGTGAAATGCATTTGCTTGCGCAGATACAACTCCCGGTTTGTTTCTCGCGTTTTGCTGCACGTCTCGCGTTGCTATGGCAACTGGAAAATTTCTCACCAATTTGCATCATTCGCCACAGGGGCAGACGAGGGTTAAGCGAGGGCGCGTGAAAATCACCTTTGCGCCTCGGTGGGCAAATAAATTAAATCAAGCTTCACATTTTGGAAGATTTGGGTTGATGCAGCTATTAACTTAGAGACACCAAAAGTAGCGAGATATGGCAAGTAATGAGTGTCATAATAACTGATACTAACGCAGATAAAAAATCTATTTTTAGAAAAATTGTAAATGGTGTCTTAATTGTTAATTCAATCGAATATGTAAGAATTTATTTTAAATACAAGTAAAAAATTTCTACTGCAACACAAGTAACCGGGTATTTTTATTTTTACACTTAAAGAGAAGGGAAAAAATATAAATTTTTATTGTTATTGAATGTTTTCAATTTTAAAATAAACAGATATTTTACAGTAAAAAAGGGTTCTTTGTGAATATTTCCAATTCTATTAATTCAAAATTAATTTTTAATTAAATAAATATCACATCTATATAAATTTACTCTGGATAAACTCATGGCGCATCGACGAACCCAAACGTGTGACAAAACAAAATTTTATTAAATTCTTTTCTTGTAACTGCAAAAACCGATTTGCAATGAGAGAGCAAATTGAAATGCAGCAAATCATTGAGTTTGATAATGAAATAATAGAACAATGCGAGTGGAAATTTGTAGTCTGTACTGTACGCAACATGTGTGCGTTGAAAGCACACAATTGTTGGACTCATAATTCCGGACGTGCGATCCAGCAATGTGGTTGAATTGTGGCGAGAGATAAGTTTTGTGTGCGAGGAGGCGCCTGGTTGGTTTTTGCTGCCAACTCGACGCCATCAGCCTTCACGCTTTTATACCGATTCTGGAGGACGCGATGTGACTTCAATGACACACCATTTATACGAATCACTTTCGCAAATAAACCATTCCTACCATATTCGTCTCACAAACATTTTTTCCTCAACGGGTCTTTTAATAAATCGTTTAGAATGAAAAAAATAGAATTTACCCGGTGAACTCGATCGCTCTTCTGCTTGAAACGCTGTCCGATTTTCTCAAAAAGGCCGCTGTGGTCGGCCGAGATTTCCGGGGCCGAGTTTGGCCCGTCTTCGGAAACACTTCTGGCGGTCAAACCAGCCAGCCCAAGCACAGGCACCAGTGAGGCCTCCAGAGAGCATTCAGCCACGGTGGCCGCTCGGTCGGTGAAACCCCTGCTCTTATTGGAGGCCAGCAGAAGTGCCCTCAGATGCGGCGTGGCGCGGCTTTCTTCAGGTTCCGAATCGCACGAGAAAACCTGTTGGTTCCCAGGGGTAAACAAAAGTGAGGGAGTTGACTCGGAGGTGGTCTTATTGCGTGGATATTCAAATTAATTTAATGGAATTACAACGTACAGCAATAATTTGATGTGCAAATGAGTTTTTTTATGATGATATCAGGATCAAATTGTAATTTTAAAATTTTTAAGATTAAATTTTGTGGATGCTGAAATAATAACTAATATCACTGATTGAAAAATTTCTTGTATAATATTATAAAATTTTTTATTTGATTAAATCTATTTTAGCTCCAAACTGCTAAAATATTGCACTGCATAGTCATCTGACGTAATTAATTACAACAATTAATAGATGCATACATAAATGTCTAAATAAAATATTCAAAAAAAATCATAGTAAATATTTCATTGCAGGAATAAATTGTAAATTTAACTCTAAAATGCTCACAGTAAATATTATAACTTTTAAACTTAAGTCTGGCATTAAAATTGATATGCAATAAAAAACTAAAATAAGCTTCCTTGATAACTAAAAAAATTGTTAAAATGAAATAATACTGAATAATATTGTTGTTATTCTTTTTCAAGCACGGTTTTCCCGGCTCTCTTTGTAATCACTTCCGCATCCACATAACGCATAAAAAATATTCACACGGTTTGAAGTGAAAAAGTCGCACCTCCGAGTCCGAAAGAGTCGTCCTGAGTGGGAAAAACTCGCCATCTGAGTCTTGCGACGCGACCGTGGCCCCCCTTAAGAGTCGCGCCGCCCTGACCGGGGAGTCAGGGGGCTCGGCGTCGCCCCGAATGCGCTCACTGATCCTGGCCAGGGTGCACCTGACCCTCTGCAGGGTGGTCGAGTCAGCTGCAGAGTGGTGCATGGGACTGCTCGGCCGCCGCGCTGCTCGCCATCCCGCACTCGACTGCTCGCGCGATCAATGGCCAGAGGGATCCCTCCTCAGCCGCAGCGCTCCCTCTGACGTAGCCCAACGTGAGTGTGGCAGCTCGCAGCCCAAACACCCGCGCTCCCGTCACGCGAGCCACCGAAACTCTGCCGTGCCAATTTTGCAACACGCCCGCAGAAAATTAAACAATTCGAATGAACCTGGAATGTAATTTCTGTCAACTTTTATTACTTCAAGATTATAAATTATGTTAAAGACAATTTAATTTTATCAAAAAAAAAACTCTACACATAATTTATTAATTTAATTTCAAGGCAAGTTATTAAATTCTACTTTCTAATTATGAGCTGGCTGAGATTTCAAGTAATCACTTGTTGGAGAACGTTCAACCCAGTTCAACCCCTGGAGGCAGTAAATTAGAACGTACCTCAAACAAACCCTGTGTCCGCAAAAGCTGTCGAATTTACTTAGGTTCGCTCCGGGACACGGTAAACTTTTTTCTTTTTCCAGCCTCCATCACCATCAAAAGTTTGGCGGTGTCTCTGATCAAAAACAAACGCATCGCCCTTTTGCCCGAAATAAAGAAAAGTTACTCGCCCCAGTGCTAACCTTTAATATTAGGAGAATAGTGTGAGAGAGGATTCGACCTTTTCAGAGCAGCACCCCATTAGACAGGAATGGGGCAAGTTTGCTTGTAAATTAAATTCGTCCCTTTTGCCCGTCATACGAAAGGAACACAATTTTTATATATTTTTTCCAATAAAAGGACGCTGTGTAAGCTAGAAATAATTCGTATTCAGCACACAGTATCCCTTCGATTCATCTTCCCCTCCGGTGCCTAGTTTTGCCCGTGGTGGTTTGATTGATTTTTCCTGTGACTAAGCGTAGAATTTATTCCATCCGAGCTTTGACTCTAATTGGAGGTCAAGGTTTTGCCTGCATTGACACGGCAGTGTATTAAAATTGCTCACGTCTGCATCTTTTATCAATTAATTGTATATAATAATTGAAAGGGGCAGTTGTGAGATAAAATAGCAAAGGCAGCGTGCCTAATCAGATAGAGAAGCGCTGCCGCCGCTCCTTAACTTCATATATTGATTTTCTTAGGTGAAAGGTCAAGACTGACAGAGTGACTGAGCAGAAATAATTCACCGTAAGATTCGCACAAACAAAAAATGGTATGTGTGCGGAGCAGAGTCAAAGGAGGATATTTACCGAGGCGGAAAATAGCACTGCGAGTTGCATATCGTTGCACTTGTACGGCCTTTCTCCCTTCGTCTCTCAAAGAGCAAAGTTTGAATGAAAATCTTACAGAAGGCGAATGCACTTTATGAACAAAGTTGACGGGTTTTGATGCAGAATTATCTCGTCCACGTGGGTGTGCATGACGTAACAGAAGTATCCCGACTGGAAATTTATTTCGGAGTAGCGTGCTGGAGTTTGTATTAACTTGTCTTTGGGCAAAGTTTACCGGCGCTCGTTGCCAAATAGTTTTCATCGCTCGCGTAATAAATGGAGCAGTAACTCACTTCGCGCAGCCTTGACTTCCAAAACAGCCTTTGGCGAAATTTAATTCGCACTCAATTTTTTTACACCCCGTGCCAGAAGCAGAGCTGATCTGTTGGCAAATCTTCGCAAGGAAAAACTCAATTTTTTGTCCTCTTGACCTAATTTTGAAGATTTACGTCTGCGTTATATTTTATTTAAAACTTCTGACATAAAATTCAGGCGTAAAAGAAATGTCTGGCTGAGTTTCTCGTATCAAACGAGGTCGCTGAGTGTGATAAAGCGACGGAGAACGGTGGCGCCGAACTCATCAAGAGCGGAAATGGCGTTTCCCAAAAAGGATGTAATTCTCGGCGGGCTTCCTTTATCAGATTATGGGTTAAGGTCAGACGTAGGCGCTGAAACGCCACAGGCGTTCATTCGCGAGCTAAGCAGCAGCACATCCCGCAATTAGAGCGCGTGCAGCTGCTAAATTTATTACCCTCCGAATAATTAACCATCGTGAGCGAAAATCTCACAAAGCCGTTTTGTTAGCTTTCTTTGACCGGTTGGATTTAAACGTCTTGAAATTTCAAGACAACTTTTGCAACAGTTTTCTGTCGAGCAGGACGTGTTTTGCATGGCGTGTCTCGCGAGCGTGTCAGCTCAATTCAAGTAGCGATAAAAAGGGCGCCACGTCGCTTTAAATGTCACTTTTTATTCTGCGAGCAAAACTTACATGCGCTACTGCAGCTCATTAGCCCAGTTTGGTCCGGTAGTTACGACGATGGAGTTGATTAGCAATTCTGCATGCAATGTATGAGACCAATTACACTTCTCTCGTGATTGCTGATTGATCATTAATAGTGATATCAAGTATAGAATGATGTGATATACACATTTGAATGATCCCTAGCTGAATTGCAAGATTATGAACCGATACAAAATTATGATTCATATGAATTCATTTTTTTTCATCAAGCCATGCTCCAAAAATCGAATGCCACTTGCCTTGCACTGCTTGAAGAAGAAAGGAGTCCAAGAAAGCCGGACAAAAAGATTGAAATTTTGTTATTCAAGTTTTATAAATTTATGTATTTAGAAATTAATGAAGCAAAGTTCGGAAAGTTTGTGCATGATTTAAATTGAAAGGAAAAGCTTGTGCAATGCAGCCAAAAAAGCAAGCGAATAATAAAAACGCTTTCGTCGTAAAAAAATTTAAAGTTAAATCTGAACGCAAAATCAAATAACCGCTTTTCCTTCTGCTAATACTCAGCATCCATCTCCTTCTCGCGTTCCATTAGATTAGGCAGCTTTATATATAATATGCAAAGGCACAAAAAGCCCCAGTCGCCTCGAAATGAAAACGGCGCGACTCGCTCTTGACAAATAAAGGTGAACTGGGATTTTTCTGCTTCGTTGATATCACTCAGGCGTAATATGATTTGGCACTTATTGAAATTGACTCTGCGTCAATATTGATTGATGGGCTCGACCTGCAGAGAAATTACTTTCGCACCTCTCTTACGCAAACAAAGGAAGATTCCCCTTGCAGAGCAAACAAATTAATTCCCACGATATTCCTTCTCCACAAAGATGATTGCTTTATCTACCGAATAGAAAAACAAATCACCAAAAAGCGTGGAGATATTTTCTTTCTCTTCTGCAATTAATGAAGACAGTTGATAGTGTTTTCTTTTTCGCAAGACTTTTGTAATAAAAAAGCCACAATGCCGAAAGTATTTAGCTCTAATGGAAGGCAGACGACATGCGAGACGCGCCCGTCGAGCGGGTTGCATGCGAAAAGAGATAAGGGGCTCTCTCTTACCTGATCCTTGTCTTCTTGAGATTTTGGTGTCAACCCTACAGTGAGCTGGATTTCTCCTAGGTAAGCACCGCTTCCAGACGACTGCTGCGAACCCCTGCTGCTCGTTGTTGGCTCCGTCAAAGTTAAATTTAATTCAGTCTGCCTGCAAAAAAATTTTTCACTCTCTCTTTCCAACCTTTTAACTCGATTGGCAAAAAAATATACACAGTAAAGTATTGGTTTAATATGGAAATCGAAATACTGCTCAATATGAAACTGATTATAAAGGCAGAGAGCCAATATCTGATTTCAAAATGGATAAATCACAAAACTGCCGAGCACAGGATATCCAAATAACATGTAAACACGCGTAAATCAAACGTCTGCCATAAATAGAAAAGGCTGCTTTGTGCAATAAGTTTGCCAGACAAAAAAAATCAAATTTATCCTACTTTAATCAAAGACTTGCTGCCCCAGGCCATTTAATGAATACTAAATAAAAATTGCCCAGTTTGCTTTCTCCGCACCCCAACTTTGGCAACGTTGTGAAAAAATTCTTTCAATGACGAAACAGACTCTGGCGCACCAGCATAGCCCTTAGCGTTTTGCAGAGAGGACTCTGAATAATTGATTTGAATTTGCGTTGAGCGCAGTGTCAAAAGCTTTGTTCGTCTGAGCTGGCAGTGTGATTAGCTGCCAATCAAATTCTCAAATTTATTTTGTTTGAAGGGCTTTTTTTTGAGCAGGTAAAATGTCATTAATTTGAATCATGCGGATTGAACAATTTAATTTTTTTTTTTTTATCTCAGATAAGTATTTAAAATTTAAGGGAAACTTACGTATTCAGCTCCAACTTGGTGAGGTCCAGGAAAGCAGAACCCATGAAATCATCTTGCAGGCCCCAATCGTAATCAAAAACCTGCAAAAAATGGACATGGTCAAAACTAATTAGTTTTGATATGCATCTGGGTGTGGCTTTGTTAACGTAAAATTTTGCGTGACTGGCTAATTATTTAGTCATAGAGTTACACTTAATCTATAATATTCGGAACAGAAATTGTCTTTTCGTTGCATACAAGAAATATTTAAAATAAATATTTTTTATCATCAAAATTTAGAAATATTTAACAATAACAATATAAATATAATTTCTAACCTTGATATGCACTGGTACAAAAGGATCTTCTATTGGTAAAGTGAACACCTCATCCCACACCGGGTTGAGATTGCGGTAAATTGTTTTTGATTTATACAGCATCCGACCTCCTATCTTAAACTTAACGTAGGGATCACTGGTGCCTATAAAAGTCAAAATTGCGTTAGATGTGTAAGTAACATGGAATTGGTAGGGGGAAATCAGAAATTTTTGGAAAGTTTTTTTGAATTATGAAACCTTAAGTCAACTTCAACATTCAAAGTTAATTTATTAGTTAATAAAATTAACTCTATATATATATATATATGTAAATCATATAAATTCACGAAATAAAAGCGGGGGAAAATTGGCATTCGACCAAGGGCAGTTTGTGGAAAAAAGCTCCGCAGTGCCATCTGTGAACGGTGCTCAGCAAACAGTCCTAGGTGCTTGGTGGCGAACCAGGTGTCTCGCGTGGTATGTGGAGCGGGCAAAAATTCACCCCTCTTATCTGCGCTGTGTCTATTACGATTGCCGGCACACACAGCGTGACGGACAAAAGGGAAAAGGCTGGGGTTGTTATTGCGTGAGTTATTGCACGGAGGCGATAACTCGGGTGAGAGATTAATTCCAGCTGCTGCTCGTTTCAGCCGCGTTCATTAAAAGCAGCAAATTCGCTTTCCAGTTAACCACTTTGATGCCTCTGATTAACAAGGCAGACAACAAGTTCTAAAACAATCTGATTGCTTTTTTCACCTGTTTACTTCAAAAAGGTCAAAGTTGAGTGGAATATTCGATAAAGTACATACAGCTTGGGATCTCATTATTATACAAAAGAGAGCCACTGGTACGTTTGATAGAAAAAAGATCTAGGGAAGGCAGGAGCCAACAATAAGAGCTAAATTGAGACCAAAGTGCACCAGCCTTACAGAGAGAGAGGAAGGCAGAGATGAGAGGGACGGGATTATATTTGACAAATAAAACGCCAAAGGAGAGCAGAGAAAAGCTTTTGCGCTCTTACCTCCCGTATCTTTGGCCACGAGATCTTTGCCTCTCTTGAGATGCACCCGTAACTGGAAGAAGGAATGTTGTCTCAAGCATGCTTCTCGCCGCCTCTGATCTTCATCAACGACCTGCAACGAGAAAACACAAAATTGCTCTCAGTAGGCCAGTTAACTGGGGCTTAAAGTGAAAACTTCCTTAAACTTTTGTTATACTATGAGCATAACTAACAAAGTGGGCGTCGTTTTTCGTAAAATTATTCACAACAATTAAAAGTTATTTCGTCAGAACTGTTGAATTAAGGAAATTAATCAACTGAAGAGGAAAGTTTAGAGTAATAAAAATAAAACTCGCAGAGCACAAGAAGGGAGCTCTCAGCTGCGGCTTTATTAGGAAATTTTATTTGGGCGGGCGTAAGGGATTTCTTTTGGGCTTACTGCGACAACTGGCGCTGCTAAGGATGACGTGGTGTTGGATGAGCCTGCGGTCGGAACGGCCGTCTCGAGAGAGGCCTCCTTTTTGGTGTCGATTAGCCGGACTGCGGAACGAGCCCGCTGTTGTATTGGCGATCCTTTCGGACTTGACGTGAGGTTTTCACGAGCTAAGGCTGGATCACTGCCGCGTGACGAGTCTGTGGTGAGATATTTATTTATCATGTATCAATTCAGATAGGCGTCTATTGATAAAAAAAAGCTTTGATTGGAATAAAAAAAAGGATTTTTTTTCATCATTTTTACTTATTTATGTAGGCTGGTCAAAATAATGAAAAATAGATGAAAATTAAAGCAATTAATTTATTTAAGTGAAAAATAGGCTTCAAATACATGTAATGAATATTATGAAAAAATCAAATCATAATAAAAATTAACATGTAACTTTTAAAGCGTCATAATTTAATTTAATTTGCTTGGAATCGTTGGACATCAAAGATAAAAAATAAAATACTTTGTCATCTTCCCCTCGAATATTTGGACAAACTACATGGCATGAAAATTATAAGACATTTTTCTAGCAATTAAACATATTTTCTCTCTGTATTATTAATGTCATATTTTATAAAAACAAAATTTATGCTAAAAAAATGTGTATGATGTGATTGTGTAAAAAGTTACTTTTGATATAAATGTTGAAAGCAAAAACTGCTACTACAGAGTCATAATGTTGCTGATCAAAGCCGCTTTGATCGTTTACGCTAGAGCAGCCGCAACGTAATTACACAGTAAAAAGCGTGAAAAGCGTTCACTCGTTCGCCCACGCAGATCAATAAATTTCTCAACCTTCGAGTCTGGGGAGCGGAGTAAATTGGTTCATTAATTTCTGGGCGTATCGAGTTGCCTTATTAAAAAGATACGCAGCAACTTTTCCACTTCTATAGCAAATTCACGAGCGCTAATATTTCCGAAATAAGAGAAGAGGCTTTCGTTTTTCTTCTCCACTAGAGCAAAAGGTTGAGGAAGATGAGCCAAAGGAGAAGCCTCAAAAGCTGTTTGGCTTCGCAGGCTTGGGTATGAAATAATATTTGCTTTCCTGACATTGCGCGCCCGTCTAACGTCGGCAGCGCCGACAGGGTTGTAAAAGGCCGTATCTCTCTTCGTTCGGATAATACACTAATGTGTGCTTAGCAAGCCGCAATATGACGATGAATATGCACCAATGGGAGTGATAATTATACAAGCAACACCTAGAGAATTCTCCAGAAAATTGCGATTTCTAATGAGAGCATGAAATACGTACATAAGACTTGAGCTTTGTAATTAATTTAATTAAAGTATTACTTGAAGAAATTAAAGGATTGTGACCAATAAAATTGCAAGTTGGTTGCACAAGAACCGAGCTAGCAATTTTCATGTTTTAAGCAAAATGAATAACGGGCGGGGCAGGAACCTGTCATTACCGTGCTGGAGGGTGAACAGGCGGTGCCTGGGCGACTGGGTTTGCGGAGTCGCCGAGCTGCTGTGGTCTGAAGAGTTGTCTGCAGCGTAGTCCGTGCTGTCTCTGCGGCCTTCAATGCCCCTCATCGGACGTCTCTCTTTACTCCGGCTCCGAGAGAAACGGGTCTGAAAAAAATTGTGGTTTAGAGTAATATAAAAATGCTATTTCATTTAAATTTATAAAAAAAGTTGCTTTCTTGTTCAAATTTTGAAATATCATGATACACTTTTAATGGCCCTAATTGAACCATTGCGTTTTTTCCATTTTCAATAAGACCAAGTTATAAATATTTTGTTATTACATTTTATCTGTGTCACCAAAGAAATAAAACAAAATGATTCGGTTCAATGTGCGACGCTGCTCTAGTTGGCATGTGCAAAAAGTGACGGAAAAGTAGCACAGCAGACGCACAAAAGACCCGCATTTAAATTTTATGTCAGCCGGCATGGCGGAAAAGGGTTGCTTGCTCCTTGGGTCCTTATCACTTTTGCCTACACAAAAAGTGAGGCCCATTGTACCCAGCGAGATCTTTCTTGGGCCGGAGAGCTATCTGATCTGCACGCGGATAGCATCTTCTCGCTGAAGTTTCCCAATATTGAAAGACGCGCGAATACAAAGGTCTTGTCTTGCAAAAGGGGAATTTGGCCCGAGGATGCGAGGAATGGCAAACAAATGACGGTGAGGAGGAATATTTGATCGTGGAACAAACACTATTAGCCGGGAGGCCGGGATTCCTATTTCATATTCCAGAAGCATCCGAAAATAGAGCAGTCTGTAAATAATCAAAAGTTATTGCCGACCTGGATATTATTTCCTTACGTCCGGTAAAACGCACCTGTGTCAGAGGGACTGGCGTGTTCTTTTGATTGCGAGTGCTACTTCATTCGCCGTAAATTATGTGTGATAATGAAAGGAAGTCTCGGCCATATGTCACTTTATTTTTATCTGAGCGCACCGACCCTGGTGGTTTTTTCATATGCATGGAATTCTTTGAAGGAAAACCTCAAACATAATTATGCTTCTTTAGAATAAAAATTACCTCAAACATATTTTCAAGCTCCACGTTTTTCCGGTCACATTGTTTGATAAGTTATGAAAAATAAACTGCCTTGGAAAAAATTTCAAGTTTAAAACCGAAGCTAATGGTAAGTATACAAAGAGGAAACTGCGTTTGATCGACGAGCGACGTCAAGTTCAAAGCAACTGACAAAAAAAGTTGCGATAACGAAAGTTGACTATGGGGCATTATACACGTACAGCACTTTTGAGATTGCCTTTTCGAGTCAATCAATATCCACGCGCCTTGTGAACCAACATCGCATGCTGCGACGATTGTGCGGAACACGCCTCCGCCATCAAATTACACACATTAGGGTCGGCGCTGGATGCACGGAATTTCACTACGTGCAGTTCTGAACGCGAAATAATAATAAATTCAGCGGCCGACGTTTCCTTTCTATTCAACATGCATGCACGCGCGTTGTAAATCTTTTTTTGCAATCAATGGTATGAAAAGAGAGCGAAAGGAGGCAACCGGTATGAAAGGAATGCCCGACCGGTTGCATACCGCGCTCTCAACAGGGACGCCTCGTCCTTTAATGGAACATTAGCTTAGATTGTGTGGAAAAAATCCTGCTTTTATAGGACAACAGATTTAAAAAAAATAAGGTTCAATATATTGTTAGTTTGGAAATTTTTAAATAGATATCTTTTTCTCTCAAAACGTTATCTTTCATAAATTGAAAATTAGTTATGTTTATTTAAAAACAAACTTGAACCAGGTTTATTTGCAATTTTTTTTTTATATGTATTAAAATTAAGACTTGGAAAAAAAAGAGCTATGTTCAAATTACCTTTAGGGCGGTAAGGATGCTGTGCGTCCGCTGGGCCATAGAAAGACGTTCGGCAAGTTGAGGCACGCTTGACCCCGCGCCGGTGGAGGTCATGGGTCTCGGTGGCTGTTCCATGGGCTCTTTGCTCTCAGTCCTGGTGGGAGAACTCAGTTCGCCAGTTGACTTGGATAGGGGGCGATAAAGTCCGCCGCCCTCGCCGTCCACGCAGGCATTCAGTCGGTTTCGGGCAGCTGTCAACATATAAAACCTCAATGTCAATTTTTTTGCTTTTGACCCGAATGATTTATTACAAAACGCAGTGTCTGTAAAATTAATTCTATTTTATAAATAAATATGAAATAAAAACGCTTGATTTCAAAACCAATTGTAAATCCAAACTCCCCTCCCCCCCCCCAAACATTTAATTTAACCGTCTCATCAGGGTTAGTTTACTATATTTGAATTTGGTCGGGGATACTAGAAGGATATTATATGAAAAGCAAATTTGCTGAACCTTGGTGAGAGAAGTGTGATGCCAAAAATAATGACCCATGAAGTTAGTCATGACCAGGGTTGGGTAACATATCACTCAGCACGGACAATTTATTCCGAGACCCAGTCGCTTGCTTTTGCGGTCAGACAAAACCGCGCATGTGTCCACTGCAACGGTGGTTGTCAACTTTGACGTGCATTTGTAACAACGGACTTTTTTCATGCAAAAATAAATATTTCTAATTGCAGGAAAACTCTGTAAAGCCAGCATTGGAGCCTGGCTTTCAACACCGTTTTTACGCCACGTCGACCAGAAACGGTCGTCGAGGAAAAAAATAGCCAGAAAAGTCAATTTCCCCAGACAACGTGGCGGAGTCCATTAGTCTAGAGGGAATACGCCACGAGATTTATATACGATTTTCTATCTTATGTATGTTGGAAGTGACGTTAACCTTTATGCCATTTGACTTCTATTTATGCTGGTAAGAGAGCAATATTATTTTTTAGAATTGCTTTTTGCTCTTGATTATAATTAACTTTTTTTTGTAGAAGAGCCATTTTTTGTATTGGTGCTTTTATTTTGACAAATATCTTTGATACATAATCAGTTATGATTTATATCAACCTGTGTTCAACCCGAAAATTTGATTTTTTTTAATGGAAAAATTAATAACAAAAATTTAAAAATCTCTCTCTGCAATAAATAGATATATATATATATATATATATATATATATATATTTATAATAATACATTTTTTTAGTATGTTTTAAAACCATATGACACTCGATGTCTGAGGCAGCGTTTAGTTAGAGCAAAGCACCATATATTTCACCAAAACATACCTCACTCCCCAAGGAGCAGATCGGGAAACCAATGAAGCGCGACTTCATTCAATTTGCTGCTATCAAAAACAATTTCTATGTTTCCGCCGCACTCCAGCTTAAAGTGCAAATCTGTACAGCATCTTCAGTAATATCATTTTCATGCGTCTCTTCTACTCATATCTTTGCATACGGTTTGAAAAATATTATTGAAATGACGTTATCAAGCCTTGTTATTGAAAACAACATCAAACTGAATGACTGAATGTATTTCATTTAATAAATTTCAACAATTATATGAGAACTTTATAAAAATAAATTTAATCCATGGTTTTATTTTTGACATGTAATGAGGTTGTAGGTTCTACAAGGTTTTTGTAAACAAAATAAAATTATTAATAAGTTATAAACACTTTGAAGTATATCATACCTTTTTTTACTGACGTTTATTGTTATTTTATTAATTGCGTAAATATCCCACATACTGTCAACAATGTGGAAATATCTGCAGCACCTCTTATTCAAAAACAATCTAATCTTTTGTTTGGAATTCTGTTTTATCCACTGTAAAAATAAATCAACAACAAAGGTTTTTTGTCAGGATTCTTTTGTCAAACTGTCACAGTACTGACAATGAGAGGTGAGTATTGCAAGTGCACGCAAGCCACCGCAACACGTGCGTTATTATTTTATGTAATAATCTCATAAAGACACTCCACGCAATCAATCCGTTTATTTCCTATTCTTTCGCATTGGCCAACATAAAAGAGAGAGAAAAATCTCCTTTCGGAATTTCCCTTCCAATTAGTGCGGTTTCACGTCCCGCCCTTTGTTTGGCGTTTGGTATGGCAAATATTTGCCCGTCTAATGAAGCAACAGACAACCGTTTGTGCAGTTATGTCTGAACAACGGTCTGAACTTGACGTCCTTTTATAGCGTGCGCTCCCTACACAAGGGCGAAAAACATCTCATGGGATTTGACGCCCGACGCTAAAAAGTGGAAAATTTCACCATGCGCGCAGGTAAATATGTATGTATTTTATTGTCATGCAAATTCAACAGTCGCTGGCAGGATAAATTTTTTACGTGTCAAAAACTTCAAAATCTCACTACACATGCAACATGAAACATTTTCATCCCTGAGTAGAGTGAGATGAAATATGAATGAAGGCAGAGGTGGCGGATTAATATTTCACGTCACTTTTGCGTCCACCTTTCAACACCGCCAAAAGGTACGTAAAAAAAAAGGATCGATAAAGCCGCAGATCAATGTGGGGCTAAAAGGCTCTATCAGGGAAAGATCTGAAAGTGAAGATAAAGAAAATCACTTTGGTCGAATAATATATATCCCGTCCGCACTTTGTGTCTTTATTGTTTTCAGAGAAGCAAGGGTAGGAAAAAGCTAAGCAATAAAAATAAATAAAATATTATTTTGTGGAGGGGCTCCAAGATCGATTTTGGCAGTCTCAAGCGCACTGGAGAGGCAGACAAATAATTTTTCAAAGAAGCTTTTATGTCTGGAGCATGGAAAAATTCTGGTTTCAGGCACACAAAAAGTCCATTTGTAATCATTTCTCTACCACCTAGTTACTTTTCAGAGAGAGCAGGGCTATTTATTTAACTTTAACAAGCAGCTGAAGCGCTATTGTGCGTAGAAAAAGGCTTTGCAAATTTTATACGGCCACACTGTAGATGTAGAGCACTCGCGTTCGTTATTTACATTCTGAATATGGGAAACGGCTTGGCAAACAAATGCAAGGACGCAAGAGGATTTTCACAACTTTTCTCATTGTCAGTAGCACACATATACAAACGTTTTTATATGTTTGCCAGAAGCGTTGCAACTCACCTCTCTTTCTTGCGATTATTGATTCGGTCTATTCTCGTGGAAAATATTTTGATTTTCTTCCTTCATGCATATTTGCTTTCTCACAATCAGACTTTTGTTATTTGCTGGCATATGAAGTTCATTAAAATTATTTAATACTCTTAAAAAAATCTAATAACTGCAAATAGAATCGTCCTCAATTTACGTAAATATCAATTATGAATATTTGTTATTTAAATATATATTTTTTGCTAATTTTCTTATTAACAGATTATTAACAAGACAAAAATACATTTTTGTTTTATGCATTATTGTTTTTCCTTTGTACAAAAGTTCAAAATTTTTTCAATGCAATAATAAATTTCAATATTATTATGTACATTTTTGAGAAAGTTTTTAAAATCTCAAACTAAAATTCACAAATTATATTTTAATGTTTTGAAAACTATATCATTGAAATTACTTAAAAAGGTTTATAAAACGATATTTTGCTGCAAAATTATTCAGACTGATTAATTTAACAATAATCCAGCAAAATTCATTTAAATATTTAAAATTTAACAGCTAATTTTTTCATTACAATCAGAATTCGATCGAATACAAAATACATAATTATGTACATATTATATAACGTCTTGATGCACACTTGAATGCCACCGGCGCCTTGTGAAATCAGCGACAAACAGCGCCAGACAAATAATCGATGAGTCTCTGTCATTGTCAGTTGGCATTGTGGCTTTTGCGACTCACATAAGTCGTCCTCTAGACGCTCGTAAACTGTGTAAAAGTAATTCGTCAAACTATCCTGCAGTTCGCGCACTCACTCTCAATTGAGGGCACTATGCCCATTCAATTAAAAGTAGTGGCCTGCATTCAGCGCAAATGACAATTTTGCCAAGCAATTGGATCAAAATAATGGCCATTATTCTACAGGAGTCAATAAAGCCTGGCTATGAAATTTGATATGCTTGTCACGAGTGGACAAAATTAATTTCCCGCGAGAACAAACAAACACTGCTGCAAACGTTAACGAGTCAAATCGGAAAGCAATTGAGTTTAATATTTCATGAGACGCTGCACAGATTAAAGCACGCAATTTTTCAAAGTAGACTGTGGGCGTCGGCGCGAGAAAATTAATGTTTTTGTTAAAAAGGTCCGCAGTGGATTTAATGCAGAGTGCAAAAAAAATATGAAATAAATTTAACTCTACTCTCAGCACGCAGCCTCACGGCCACATTGTGATGATAATTGCATGCGTAATCAACATGACCATTAAGTTAAGTGAGGCGCTCGCGTGGCGCAAGACTAATGTAAGCACTAGACCATAATGGAAAGGATTTTTAGCATGCAGAATCAAGTTTGCTTAGGGTGAGGTGCAGAATAATTTAACCACGGTCTCGTATTAGTTGTCTCAATCTCTTGATTTAAAAATGTAATTCTGCGTGAAGCCTCTTTTGTTAGATATGTTAAGATATTAAATTGCCATTAAAAACTAATATCTTGCTACTAATATCGAAATTTAATTTTTTTTTTATCTTGTGAATACAAATTATCTTTGCCAAAATGGGCAGTACGTGTGCACCTATTTATATAAAAATATATATTATTAATTTATGAATTTATATTATTTAAAAATATATAATATATTTTATAATCTTTAAAAAAAATTAGGAATACACAATTATAAAGGTCTGTATTTAATTTATTTGGTATAGTTTATTTGACTTGATTTTTAAAAGTTAAATATAATTTCCTCATGTGGTATTAATTTTTACACCTCACAAATAAATATCTCAATACCATTGCCATTTTATACAAAGTTTTTCCTACTTCTACATTGTGCTATGAAAACTACAATAATTTGTATTGGTTTTTTCGCTTTCCTTTATCATAAACTTCCAACTCATGGAATGGCAGATGAATGTGGATGTGGGATGGCGTGCTTTTTACCAATTGCAAAGTTCGGCCTTGCGCGAAAAGTTCCAATTTCCATTCCAGCATAATATAGCACACACATAGAACAGCTGAAGCTTTTCGATTTGGGTCAATGTTCTTCTCATGGGATTATTCAAATGCGCCGCGAGCAGTATGGCTGCAAAAGGCGGTT